GGCCGGCCCAAGGGCCAGTGTTCCCCGCCCTGTGGCCTCCCGGGCACCAGGGGCCCTCCCTGCGGAGGCCTACAAGGCAGGAAGCTAGCCAGCTGGAAGACCAGCGCTCCCCGCTGGAGGCTCCCTGTGTGCTGGAAGCCCTCCTTTTGGGGAACTACGAGGCCGGGAGTGAGCCAACCTTTTTTTTTTTTTTTTGTCTTCTGTTTATCATGTTTATCTTGTTTTATAATTCAGCTATTTGACTTTTGATTTCCTGCTCCTCAGTGTCCCGACAATCCCTTGGGGGAGATGGGAGTTTCTGGAGGCCTTTTGTTGCCTTGTTTTCTCTTACAGTGATACCTCGATGGTCAAACAGCTCCAGGCTCAAACTTTCCACGACTTAAACAGCAAACTTTGAAAAAAAAATCTGCTTAGCGTTCGTAATTGCTTGAGAGTTGAACTGAAACTCCAACTTGAAAAAACCCGTACAGGTCGAAAGTGCACCCCGCATGGCGTCCCACCGCGGACAGAGGGGTGACGGTCCAGTGTAAGCGCCGCTCCCACCCGGACAGCATGTGGTGCTCGTGTTAGTGTGTTAGAACATTTGTCACTGTGCTTTTCTTGCCCTTTATTTGCATAAAATACCATACCATGGCTCCAGAGGTTAGTGATACCAGCAGTAAAGCCAGGAGGGAAGTTGACAGTAGAGTTAAAAAAAGGAATTATTGCAAAATTTGTTAAAGTCCTGGAAAAATGAATTTATAAGTGTAATTTTGGGCCTCAGAACCAATGAATTGGTTTTCCATTATTTCTTATGGGAAAAATAGGTTCAGTTCTCAAACTTGTCAGTGTTTATGGAATGAATTGAGTTCAACAACTGAGGGATCGCTGCACTTCTTCTCTTTCTTTTTCTCCTGAGGGTTTGGTGTTGGTTAAAGTGGACTTCTTGCTAGTATGGAGATGTCTTTAGTGTCTGGTTTCTGGTGCTAAACTCTAGGTGTGGCAGAATATAAGCCATGCCTTTTTCAAGATCCAACCACCTTCTTTAACTTGGGGAGGGAAAAGGTGGAGTATAACTGGCCTAGCACCCAGTTCTCTGGAAATGAACGATCGTAATTTTGATAACACAAAGACAAACTAGGTGTTGACATACAGTAAAAATCAGTTAATACCAACAATTATGCCACTTCTGGCAATAGCAAAGAAATCAGCAACAGTTATAGAGTCAAAGGTGAACTGGGTACTGACATACCGTAAAAACCAATAAAAACTACCACTGTGCTACCTTTAACAGTAGGAAAGAGATCTGCAGTAATAATACAGCGCAAAGGCAAAACAAATACTGGCATGCAGTGAATATCCACGACATGCAGTGTTTTCTAACCATAGAAAACACTTCAGCAGTAAAGTACAGTTAAGTAGGCATCTAAAGATTAATAAAGCTTAATTGTAGTACTAATAAAAATAGAGTGGGGAAGGGGAAAATGAAAGAAATGTAATTTCAAAAATAAAAGGAAAATAAGGAAAGAGAAGTGAGATGAGGGATCAAATTAAAGAGTAGAAGAAAATTAATAGGATTACATAAAAGTAACAGAAAAAAAGATGGCAAACAAAAAGGAAAAAGAAAAACTCCAGGAAACAAAGAAAAAGAAATGGGTCCTAAAAACGCCCCCGTGTGTTGGGATGTGGGTTTCTTCCCAGGGCCTGCAGTGCCGGAACCCACCAGGTGTGACCGACGGGCAGGAGGTCCTGCTGTGTCCACACCCACGTTTTTGGGGAGCGCTGAGCCCTGCCCCAGCTTTCTTGGGCTGTGTCCCTCCAGCTGCTCCCAGGTTTTGTGTGCCCGTGTGTACCCCAGGTCACTGCTTTCTCTGCCTAGTTTTGTGACCTGTGAGGTTGTGAGGAGCCCTTCCTGCTGCAGAAGCCCCGTCTGTACACCTCGGGCTGTCACCGCCTTCCCAGCGGAGGCATTTCCCTGATTGTCTCGGCCGGCGGGGAGAGCCAGCGCCGCTGAGCTCCGTGCGGGGAGGCAGTCGAGCAGAGCAGTGCCCCGCCTCCAGACCCAGCCTTCCACAAACCACATGGGACCAGCCTGGCTTCTCACCACGGAAGGAGAGGGGCCCCCTGCGCCCCGTCCTTCCCACCAAGCCTGAACTTCTCAGGGGATCTGTTCCTACCCCCTGCCCTCTGCAGCAGTGCTTTGTGACTGTTCCCCAGCCACTCGTGGTAGGATGACCCTGGAAACCCTGAAGTTTAGTTCTGCGGCTTCCGATAGCTGGAGTAGCTCAGGCTTAACCAGTCCGTTTCCCAGTGTCTCCTGGTTAGTCACTCTCACGTGTGGTGGGCAGAGCAATGGGCTTCTTCCGCACTGTGTCCGTCCTGTGCAAGAAGGCACTCTCAGAGGTGCCTCTGGAGGGAGGGCCCCTGGTGCCCGGGAGGCCACAGGGCGGGGAACAACATCCCTATGCTGTTTTTGCAGTTTACAGTGTGTGCCTTCTCGAGGCCAGTGCTGCTGGCCTGGTCTGTCTCCCTGGGGCCGCTGACCCTCTCTAGGTTTACCTCGTGTTCGCAAAGATAGGCCACCCTCCCCAGGAGCCGAGATTAGGGTTCCAGTCCGCTTGCTTCTTTTCCCTGCATTTTCTTCGGCTTCCCTACTTTCTCTGTGGTTTCTAGTTTTTCTGTGGCTTTTTCTGAGTTGCCAGGGCTTCTCTTCTCTTCTCTTCATTGTTTCCAGGTGTCGTGAGTTCAGGCCCTGGACAGACTGTGGTGTCTGCTCCTGTGCTCTGTGCTGCCGTCCTCCTCCTTCCAGTTTTAACATTTTAGCTGATCTGTGGAGGTATAATGGCGTCTTACTGGGACTTTGATTTGTACTTTGTTAACGATTAATGGTTGAAAATCTTTCATATGCTCATTAGCCATCTCTGTATTTTGTTTGGTGCTGTGTGTGTTCTTTTTTTTTTTTTCCCCATTTAAAAATCAGGTACCGTCTTACTGTTGAATTTTTGGATATTCTTTTTCTGTTCTGCTAAAACATTCTCTGTGAGCCCTGCGATTTGCAAACATTTTCTTCCAGCCAGTGGCTTAGTTTTTGTGATCTTAATAGTATCTTTTGCAGACTGAAAGTTGTAAGTTTTGATAAAGCGCAGTTTATAAATTTTTTCTGTATTTTGTTGGTGGTTTTTTTTTTTTTTTTGGTACTGGGAATCGAACTCAGGACCTTGCACTTGCCAGACAGGCACTTGTGGCACTGAGCTATATCCCTGGCTCTGTCAGTGGCTTTTATATCTCAGAACCCTTTGCTTACCTAAGGTCACAAAGACTTTTCTGTGTTATAATCTAGAATTTTTATAGTTCTACAGTTTATATTTAGGCCTCCAGTCCATTTTGGATTCATTTTTGAATCAGGTGTGACAGTTGGGTTGATGCCATTTTTTTTCTCTTTGAATCTCAGCCTCCAGTTCTTACAGCCTCGTATGTTGACAGGACTGTCCCTCCTTCATGGAGTTGCCGTAGGAATTTTGTAAGAAAAATCAGTTGCCTATGTTTGCATGGGTCTATTTCTGTATTTTTTACTGTGTTCCTTTGATCTGTATGTCTGTCCTTCAGCCCATCCGGTACTGCTCTGATGACTGTGACTCACAGGAAGTCGTTTCTTTTGACTATTTGAAAAAATTTAGCAATATGGCGCCCCTTGCTCGGGGCCCGCCCTCACAGAGTTGATCGCTGGGGAGCGGGGGGCCGGGCTCCGGGATCCTGTTCTTCATTCTGATGTTCTCTGCTTACCTTCTCCTTTTAGGTGGAAGTCTTGAAATGAGGCAGTGCGAGGGCTTTAACCTTGTTCTCATGATGTTTTAGCCGTGTCCTTGCCTTTCTATATACGTTTTAAAATCAGATGTCCTCATCTGTGGAAAAGGTCTGCTTAAGTTTATCGGGATTGCCTTGACTTTATAGACTAATCTGGGAGAAATGACCCCTTAACGGTATTGTGTTTTCCAGTTTCCTTTACTGTAATATAGCTCTCATTTAGGTAGGGCTTCTGTATTATTCATCTCTTGCTGAGTAACAGAGCACCTCAACTCTTAGTGTCAGGAAACAGCAAGCACTTGCTAGGTTATAATGTCCAGGCGTCGGAATCCGGAAACAACGAAGCGGGGCCGTTCTGGCGCGAGGTCTCTCATGAGGCGGCAGTCGCAGCGCTGGCCACGGCTGCAGTCGTGGGGGGATTGTTTGGGGGAAGGTCAACTTCCAAGCTCCCTTCACATGTCTGCTGGGAGGCCTCACAAGATGTGCTTCCAGGTTCCCTGATGCGAGCTTTCCCACAGGCCTGCCTCCCTGCGTGGCAGGTAGCTTCCCCTAGATAAGTGATTCCAGAAAGACTGGGAGAAAGATTGTGTAATTTGGAAGCCAGACACATTTTGTAACTTCATCTTGGAACTGGTGTTCCATCATGTCTGTAATAGAAGCAAGTTACTAAGTTCAGTTTACGCTCAAGGGAGAGGATTACACAGTGATTTCAATGTAGGAGGTGGAAGTCACTGAGAGCTACCTGGGAGGCTGCCTCCCACATCTTTGGCTTCTTTTGTAAATGTTGCATGATTTTCAGCATAGGGATTCTATATTTTATTAGGCTTATACTTCCGTTCTAATTTTCTCAATGTTATTATGAGTGATACTTTAAAATTTTTCAAATTCCAGTTGTTTGTTGCTAATATGTAGAAATACAGTTGATTTTGTTATGTACAGATCTTGTGTCCTAAAGCCTTGTTGAGCAGACTTACTCTATGAACTTTCCTTTTTTTATTTACGATATATCTTGAAGATTAAATCATAATGGGCTGCAAGGTGTATACTGCAGAGTTAATTATTTCCTAGAGCTCAAGAAGGTTTGTCACTCTGAAATCCATCTGTTAACTTTAGCACTGCTCTTTTTTTGTATATATTTCAATGTTGAATCAATATGAAAGATTTACTAGTAGTGGCAAATTGATAATTGTTTTTCACTTTTAGGCTTTAAAAAAATGGATTGAAGAAAATCCTGCACTTAATTTTCTAAAGCCTGGCATATTGACTGGACGTGGCAAAACAAATGATAAAACAGGTACTTATACATAGTCAATTAGATTTTGCATAATAGATATAAACATATAATGTATTCAGATTCTTTATTAACATTTCTATCAGTCAGGGTTTAACCCAGAGAAGCAAAATCAGTAAGGTATTATACCTAAATATGGTGTGTGTGTTTACACATGTCTTTACATTCGTGACTACACAGAGGTTTCCTGAAAGGAAGTGACCTGCACAGTTTGGCTGGCCAAGTAGTCAGATCTGTAGGGCAAGGAATCTGGAAGGAAACATCCGTAGTAGCGTGGAACCCATAAGCAGGAGCTGTTTGAAATCTCCGAGCTCAGGAAGAGCCAAAGTCTGTAAAAAGCTCTGCTGGGTAGGTGCGGCCTGCCTTTTGATTTAAAGTCAGCTGATTAGGGACTGTAATCGCACTTGCAGAATCCCTGCAATCCGGATTTAGAGGAACAACGGGAAACTGTGGCTCAGCTAGCACAGCTGATGCATCAGAAGGCCGTCACGTTGTCAGGCGTGGTGGAACATGCCCAGCTACTGAGGAGGCTGGGGCAGGAGGATGACAATTTCAAGGCCAGCCAGGGCAATTTAAAGAGACCCTGTTTCATTAAAGAAAAAAAAGCCATCGCATTGTTCAAACACCGTTATCACACTGGTGTCTTTCTTTGTAGTAAACTACCCCCTCTGATGTATTTTGTAGGCAAGTCAAAGTTTTTGAAATACTGTTAGAGTGTTTCTCTATGCCCGGATTCTCCATTAACAAATGTAAGATTAACTGAAAATAGAAACACTATGTTTCTGTTATATTGTTCTTCTTTACTAAACAGCAGACACACAACCCTTTGGTATAATACAACTTTTACAGTTTAAAAAGTCTAAATAAACAATTCTAAAACCTGGCGAGATAAGTACACTGTGCCTTGGGATTTGGGGGAGTCACCTCTCCCCCATGCTTCCACACAGCTGTGTTCCCACCCCTCGGAAGAGTATTGCACGCAGTACTCTGTGAGCTGCATGACAGGTCCTCACGCTGCTCTCATGTAGTTTTGTGTATAGTTCTTACCAGCCTCTTCCCCGCCCTCCTAGCCCTCAGCCGTCCTGCCTGTCCTTCCCCCATAGAGAATCTCTAAACTTCATGAGTGTAAATTGTAGATTCAGGTTTTTGAAAATGTGGCTTATACATGAAGTCCAGTACCATCTTAATGTGGTTGGAATTCTAAGTCCTCTGGCCTTAGGCCTCTGCCAGACGCCACGCCCCCTTCCGTAAACTGACAGAGGCCCCTCTGCATTCCTGCGGCATCCAGGTCTCGCTCGTCCCACCGAACCTGGGCTTCCCACTCAGATGCTTCTTTCAAAAATAGGGGCTGGGGTAAGAGTGGGGTCTCGAACCATCATATTCTTAGCTGACAAACCGTAACCTGCAATTTCTAAGTAAACGTTTGGTTGTGAATAGACACACGGAGATGATTTTGCCTAAATTTTTTTCTGGCCTATTCCTCTTCCTTTCACATCGTGCCAGTCTTGTGTTTATTCAACTAAAAAAAATCCAAGAGCTTTTACAAGCTCTTTACAGGAAACTGCAAAGTAAAATCAGTAGTACACAAGGACTGATTTTTAAGAAACTTTCTAAAAATTGACTGCACTTACATTTTTATGACTTTGAATTACGATTAATTTATAAGCTTGGAAGGGTCTTTTTAAAAACCGGGACCCCATTGCCAGCGAAGTAAAAGAGGTAATGTGAACTTCTCCGCTTGCCTGAGGCAGGTCTCCTCTGTGAGGAGTAGAGATCATAACGTGACTCAACCAGTACTTAACCGTAGCTGGGTCTAGTGGGCCTTTTTTGTTTGTTTGTTTTTTTGTTTTTCTCCGGTACCGGGAATTGAACTCTCGACTTTGCGCTTGCCAGGCAGGCGCTGTGCTGCTGAGCTAAATCCCCAGCCCCGTAGTGGGCCCTTTAAAAGCTTGAGTTTATGTGTGCGTATTCCTTACCATTTTGGGCATTGCCGTAATCAAACGAACTGGGTGAGTACCGCACCCGATTTCACTCTGCATTCAAATGGTTTACTTTTAGTCTCCAGGGTCACAGAGTATGAGAAAGCAGTGTGTGACTTGTTAGACAAGTCCTTTCCTCCAGTTAGCGGAAACGCGCGCAGGCCCGTCCACGGAATGAGGGCGAGCTGCGGGGCCGGTCATGGCGCATGGAGCCCGCCCGCAGGACGTGTACTTGGGCTTCGTGAGCAACTGCAGCTGCGGCTGGAAAGCTGTCTGAGTCTTGCACATCTGTCTCTTTTTTCCTTTCCTGGGTTGCGCTCTCTGCTTCGTCATTCATGCATCGCCCTCCCTTCCCAGGGTACTGCCTGTTGCAAAATCCCAATTTCAGATTCCGAGAGGGAGAATCTGATTGACTCAGTGTGGTTCGCGTGCTTGTTTTAACCCAGTAGCTCTCGCCAGGCGACCAGGCTTTTAGATAAGTCAGAGTACTCTGATGCTGCAGCAATCCCCAAGGACATAACACAGTGAAAGTGATTGCTGCTACGTCATGGTCCAGCTAGACGAGGGGGCGCAGGCCTTTGCTCCGCGTACCTCCACTTACTTACGGACTCGGCTCCTTCCTCGTTATGGCCCTGTCTTCGGGGCTTTCCGAGCTTCTGCTGTGACCTCACCTTGCCCACCGATAAGGAATGAGAATATTCTAGGGTCAGGCTTGGAAGAAGCGGGTATTATTTCCACCTGCATATCATTAATGAGAATTTAGCCACAGGCCTCATCTCAAGGTGAGAGAGGCTGAGATTTATAATTTAGCTTTGTTCCCAGGAGCAGAAGGAAGTAGGCTTTTGTGAACAGACAGCGCTGATGCTTTGATAGAGGACATGGTAGTGAACGCCCTTACCCCCCCGCATTTACCCTGGGAGTGTGACGGAACGGTTCCAGAAAGGGCGGGGGTGGAAGGCTGCGGGGGCGGCACACACCCGGTGCCACTGTTTGGGTCCTAGACTTAGGTTCGAGGCTCGCTTCTCCCACTTGTTAGCTCATTTGCTTACCTCACCACCAGAGTCTGCAGGCTGGTGTTTATAAAGGGGAATCCTGGCACTTCGCCGCTGACCTCACAAGGCTCGTGAAGTTCCCCGGATCAGCTGTGACAATGTTTTGTCAGCTGTAAACTCCTGTACACATTTAGGAATTACTAGTAGATGTTGATATTTTTGCAAAAACGTCCTATTTCAGCATTTGTTTTGGAATGACAGGGCTGAAGCCGCACCGCTAGTAAGCGTCAGAACTGAGATTGGAGCTCTGCGGGGTACTGTGACAGAGTCTCAAGTGTTACAGGTCGCTCTGAACATCTTCTCTAAGACAGGCACAGGAAGGGATCCTACTGCCTAGGGTTATCGGAAGATCGTGACTATAAAGCAGAGATCAGTACCTAGCCTGTAATAAGCATTCCATAGTTGGTAGCCAGATTTTCAAGGGGCGGTTGCCTTCTTTGGCGAGTTGTGTAACACTCTCTTGCTCTGACACAGGAATGACCCTCCCAGCGCAGAAGTGCGTGTTGGATACATTCAGAGCCAATGGAGATAATATTCTGATTGCCACCTCGGTTGCTGACGAGGGCATTGACATTGCTCAGTGCAACCTGGTTATCCTGTACGAGTACGTGGGCAACGTCATCAGGATGATCCAAACCAGAGGTGAGACGCTTTCACGCCCTTCCCACACGGCCCCCATTCTGTGTGCCTAGTGTGTCTGTCACTTGTGCCTTCGTCCTTGCTGAGCCACAAGTTGTGGCCGGTGGAGGAGTGGCCTCTCGTATCACTGGCCCCGAAGGTCGGGACTGAGGTGTGACGGCTTCGTCCGCTGACTCACACCCTGCTGTGATCCCTGTTCACGGTGCTGCCCCCGTGCCCGGGCTGGCTCACGTCCACCTTGGCTTGGGGCTTTGTTGGTCACTGTGTAGAATTTCCACACTTGTGGGGCTGAGGGCTCCCTCTTGTCCGGAAGAAATGCTCCAGAGTCCTGTCCCACCCGGACTGCAGAGTCGCCTCTCTCGTCTTCCTCCTGCCCCCCGCCCTTCCTTTTCCAATTTCCGTAAGAACAGCTGCCACGTTGCTTTCCCTGAATGTTATAGAAACCCTAGTGGCTCCCTAGTTCGCTTGCTGTTTGGGAGTTTTCAAAATCCGTGCACCCATTTCCCTGCCCAACCCATTTCGCGCCCTCTCCGCTGTTTTTGTCCAGTTCAGCCCGCCATGCTTCATCTGCTTCTCCAGCTTAAGGAACTGCCCATGTGCTGCTGCTGTGCACTCACTTCTCCCCCGCCTTCCTCTCACCTGACCTGATCCCCCATTAGATTAACCTCTCGCATGCCAATAACCTTCTCTATATAAGAACGCTTGCGGTTTTCCATCTGTTTGCTGGTGGTTGTGAACACGTCTCCCCATTACCTAAAAGGCTCTTGAGGGAGGATCTGCATTATTCACCGTCGGTTGTGCAGAGTCATACTGAGCGTCCATATTGGATTATATTTAAAGCAGTGTTGCTGAGAGTTTGGCTGTCCAATCACACTGCATACGAGAGACCCCAGGAAAGCCAGCCTAAGGTGGGCTGCCCATTTATCTGCATGTGTAACGTGCGGAGGCAGACCTACCTGCACTTGATCTGCTCTAACAGTTGGACTTCCCTAGGAAGCAGGATTCATTGACTGTAATTAAATTCTAGGAATATCTGTCTTTTCATCTATTCTCTTACTGTATCACAATTTTAAGTCAAAAACCCCAAAAATATTTATTTCCTGGTAGGCAGAGGAAGAGCAAAAGGTAGCAAGTGCTATCTTCTGAGCAGTAATGCTGATGTAATTGCCAAAGAAAATATAAATTTGTACAAGGAACAAATGATGAATGACTCTATCTCAAGACTTCAGACATGGGATGAAGCAATATTTCAAGAAAGAGTAAGTCTTTTTATCTGTGTACTCCCTTAGGGTCTCATCATAAAGAACAAATGGAACATGAGCATGGGTGGTGTATTTTAGCATATTGTTTGGAATATTGTGTCAGAGCAGTAAGTTTAAAGTTTGGTCCTGTAGTGAGCATTTGAAATTCATCGACTGTGTGTGTGTCTGTCTGTGGGTCTCTGGGTCTGTGCTGCTGGGGATGAACCCAGGGTTTCACATGTTAGATAAGCAATCCACTACTGAGCTATACAGCTCTAGCTAAAATTAGCATTTTAAGTGTTAGTGAGATTAAAATACATTTTACTGGAGCTAATACCTGAAGTTCTTTTTACATCGAAAGGGCAAACTCAGCTAGATTCGCTCTTGACAGTTCATCTTGAGGACCACACCCTGGTACTGCAAGACACAGCTCTTTGTCTGTCCCTCAGATCTCTCTCTGCTGTTAGAGAAGAGCTCCCAGGTCACAGGGCAGGTGCTGGAATGTTTACTTGTAGGTATGGACCATATCTCAGAGTGGCATACCTGCTCCATGGTGACCTTAATTATACTGTAATTTCTTTTGTAACACAGAAGCATGAACTCAGAAATTGAACCAAGGTCCTTTGCAGTGAGCTGCCTCCTCAGCCCTTACATTTTGAGATAGGGTCTCACTAAACTGCCCAAGCTGGTCTCAAACTTGCAATCCTTCTGCCTCAGCTTCCTGAGTATCTGGGATTATAGGTATATGCCACCATGCCCAGCTCAACCATGAGTTTTTTGAATACCTTTAAAGTTCTGCTCTCTGTTTCCTTTTAGGACTTCTGTGATATGATCATTTTTCTTTCTTTCTGGTACTGAGGATTGGACTTAAGTCCTCATATGGGCAGGCAAAGTGCTCGCCACTGAGCTGCATCCCCATTGCTTTTTATTTACTTTGAGACAAGGTCTCACTGAGTTGCCCAGTCTAGACTAGAACTTGCAATCCTTCTGCCTCAGCCTCCGGAGTAGCTGGGATTACAGGCGTGCACCACTGTGCTCAAATTGATTTACTTGTTTTTTAAATGGTCCTATAGGCCCTAAAGTTCTGCCCACTTTTTTTTTAGTCTGTTTTCTTCTGTTGTTCAGGATGGTTCATTTCTATTATCTGATTCTTTTCTTGGTCCCCTCCATTTTTCTGTTGAGCTCATCCACTGAACTTTCTATTTGTTACTGTGACCATTTATATTTTTTCATGTTTGAAGTATCTTTGCTTATGGAAGCATTATTATGGCAGCTTTAAAATATTGTCAGATGAGTATCTTGGTCATCTTGGTACTCACATCCACTGATTGCATTGTTTCATTCAGTTGGAGATCTTTCTGTGCCTGTTATAAGTGTTACTTGATTTTTTAAAAATTCCAGACTTTTTATATTAGGAGAGTCTACACATTATTCAACCTTCTGTGTTAGCTGTTCTGTTGTTGTTTTTTTTACACAGCACCACTGCACGCACGTAAACAGCCGCAGAGCACGCACACAGAGGTAGACACACCACGGCACGCACGCAGAGGCGGACAGACCACGGCACGCACGCAGAGGCGGACAGACCACGGCACGCACGCAGAGGCAGACAGCAGCACGGCACGCAGAGGCAGATAGACCGCGGCACGCACGCAGAGGCAGACAGCAGCACGGCACGCACGCAGAGGCAGGTAGACCGCGGCACGCAGAGACAGACAGACTGCAGCACACACGCAGAGACAGACAGACCGCGGCACGCACGCAGAGGTAGACAGCAGCACTGCACACACAGAGATAGACTGACGCACGGCACGCACGTAGAGGCAGACATCTAGATCTCTGCTCGGCCTCTTTTGGATGACAGCAGGGGGCGCTCTGCTGGCTGCTGCTGGGGGAGGTGGGAGTTCTGTCCCCACACGGTCTTACCGGCACCCCGGGTGAGGGGCGACAGTGCCAGTCTTCCTGGCTCCCCATGTGCCCAGACGCTGGGACACCTTATTGCAGCCTGGGAAGGTGGAGAATCAGGTTCCCGCGTGGTGCGTGCGGGCGTGAGTGCAGGTGGGGCAGGTTTCTTCTCTTTTCTCTCGTGGATCACAGCAGTTGTTGTCTATATAAGTTTCCTGTCTGCTACACTGCACTTTCCTGGTCCTTTGGCAAGAGAAAGCAGGCTTTCCTTGAAACTTTTTTGTCTTTGCCCATAGGTGTTTCAGGCCCAAGTTCTTCATGTGCAAGCCCTGGATATGCCCGGTGAAGAGAAAACCCGGGGAGGGGACCAGCACTCTATTCCCAGGGCTGCAGGGTTCCTGGCTGGTCTTTCTTCCTCTCTTCACCCTTCGGAATCTTTTATAGATAACGTCCGGGGTTCTGGGATGTTTGTAGCCAAGGCCGAAGTTTTGACTTAGAACAGTCACACTGCATACACATTTAAATGTACAGAGCTCAGCAGTGTGCTCTGTGGTTGGAAGGGAGAAAGTACTTCAGCTGGTGGGGGCTGCTTCCCTTCCGTTCTGCCGTGGTTTATGGCTGCCGTGGGTGCGATGACGCCGGAGACAGTCCGTTCTGTGCACCTCTGTGAAGTTTTGCCAACTGTTAACAGTAGAAAGCATGGTTTATATGACTATTGGATGCACGTCTTTGGGCTTTTTATGGATGTCTTTGAGGAAGGCGTTGGAAGACTGGATAATGAAGTTAGGAGAACCAGTAAAATCATGGGAGATTTTTACAGATAGGTATTGCATGGTCGTGGAAGTTGCATATGAATGGTTATAAACATATGTCGCTGTGTGTGTGTGTGTGTGTGTGTGTGCTTTATCTGTACATGTGCTGGTTTTGCTTGGATGACTTTACGAGGCTTTTCTTTTGGCATGTAGATTCACCGTATACAGAATCAAGAAAAACTTATCAGAGATAGCCAACCAAAACCAGAACTTGTCCCTGATAAGGAAAATAAAAGACTGCTCTGTGGAAAGTGCAAAGTCCTGGCATGCCACACGGCTGACATACGAGTGATAGAGGTACGCAGCCTTTTCACAGCAAGTTCCTGGTTTTTCACTGTCTGCTGGTGAAATGTAAGAATACTCTGACTTGGGGCTGGGGATTTAGCTCAGCAGCCAGCGCCTGCCTGGCAAGTGCGAGGTCATGAGTTCGATTCCCAGTACCGGGGGTGGGGGGCGGAGCAGAATACTCTGACTTATTGTGGCCCTGGACCGTGTGTATAAAAAATACCACACCTTGCTTATACGGGGAGCTAAAAAAGCTGATCCTGCAGAAGCAGTGAACACACTGCTGATTGCTAGCGGCTGGAAATGGCAGCGCGGAGGGCTAAGGAGCGGCCGGGAACAGGTACCCAACACCGTTAGAGGCAGTGAGTTCCAGGGCTCCTTAGCACGGTGGATAATCCTGTTGACACGAGCACACGGCGCTGCGTGAGAGCGTCTCCCTGGGGCAGCGAGCGGCGGCGCCCTGGCTCTCGGGCGTGAGGAGCGGTCCGCACCCGACAAGTGGGAAGCGGCCGCCTTCCTGGAGCTCGCGGGCAGCTGTGCTTAGGGCAGGGCCGGGTCAGCAAAGCCGGGCACGGAGTGAAGTGGCGCTGCCGGGACCGCAGAGCAGCGGCTGCACACAGCACAGCGCAGCACACAGCAGCAGCCCCAGAGCACTCGGGCTCCTGGATTGAAGGATTTGCCCGGGTGCTGCCCGAGTCTCTACGTGTGACTGATCGGCAGGGTCGGTGTCCTCTCCCAGGGATTCTCAACATGCACGCTCCTCCCAGAATTCACTCTGCTCTTAATGAGATGCGTGCGAGGGAGTGCATATTCGTAAACTGTCAGTAAGGTTGGAATAGGGTGAGGGGACGCGGGGCTGGCTGAGGGCTCCACTACGCTCCGACCTGGATCGGAGATAACCTGGGGTTTTGTTAGTGATGCTGTCTCAGGACGGTGGGATGAAGAGGGCCCTAGGGTGCTGTCTGAAATTAAATGGGTGAAAGGGAGCGACTTCCTCAGCGCCTTCGTGTCTAACTGTCCTGTGAGGAGTTTGAGGATTTATAACAGAAATGACAAAGGTTTAAGGAAATGGAAATGTTAATTACACTGAGCATTACCCCTTGTACACAGATTATCACACTGCATCTCATATGTGAATACAATTGCTTGTCAATTAAAGATACAAATATAGTTTTAAAATGTTGCCATGAGCCAGGCGTGGTGCCTTATGCCTGTAATCCTAGCACTTGGGAGGCTGAGGCAGGAGGATCACTGTGAGTTCGAGGCCAGCCTGGGCTACTTAGTGAGTTGAAGGTTAGCCTGCATTATGTAGTGAGACCTTATCTCAAAAAAAACCAAAAGCAAACAAATGCTGCCACTTAAATTATTATTAAAAATAATGGCTATGCTGCATGCAATGTGGTATCCTCGATTAGGTCCTAGAGCAGATAGATTTTAGTAGAAAAATCAGTAGTTTATCTACTAGTAATGTACAGGTGTTATTTTCTTAGTTTTAACAAATATACTAAGGTATGTAAAATATTGGCATTTTGGGAAACTGAGTCAAATGTGTAGAAGTACTTCCTTTCCCTGCTGTGTAAGAGGTCAAGTCCGTAAGTCAGATTCCTTCAGAAGTCCAACAAAGTGAGTCTTACACACTTGACACAAATATACAGTGTAAAGCACAAAAAATCCAAACACATCCGCTAGAGCAAGCACACAGCAGCACAGCTGTGTCTGGTAGACCCGTGAACTGCTGCAGCATGTGAGCCCCTCTGCCAGGTTTGCGTCCACGAATGTTTGTAGTGCGAGGTCCATTTGTATCTGAAAGTTCACAACTCGAATATGTATGAGTCAGGAACTTATATAAATGGGTCCTGATCCGGCCTACAGGTGACTCCATTATTTCCGTCTTTCCCCAACTGTAAAGTAAGGACGCCCCCTGCTCTTCAGTTCAGATTATGGTGGGATGCTTTGAGGTTACAGCTGTGCACTGCTGCTGACACCTTCTCTGCTGTCCCACCCTTCACGCAGGAATCCCACTACACTGTCATTGGAGACGCTTTTAAGAAGTGCTTTGTGCGTAAACCACACCCCAAGCCACGGAGCTATGGAGGCTTTGAAAAGAAAGAAAAGATATTCTGTGCCAGAGAGAACTGCGGCCACGACTGGGGAATCCGTGTGAGGTACAAGACGTTTGAGATCCCAGTCATCAAAATTGAGAGTTTCGTGGTGGAGGATACTGTCACTGGACTTCAGAAACAGTATCCGAGGTGGAAGGACTTTCCTCTTGAGAAGATACAGTTCGATGCTAAGGAGCTGTCTCAGTGACCCCTGCTCCCAGTCCTTAGCCACAGGGCGTGGTCACGGAGGGAAGCAGTGGTCCAGCGGGTGCAACCATCAGTCACCTGTACCTTTGCGTAAGGCTCATACTGTACTGAGTATGTGAGTTAGCTTCCCTGTTTGCATTCAGCTATCTCTATTGTGTCACATACAGGGCACACAGGTGGGAATTGTGGCCCTGAAAACTTCGTGGGGCAAGAGAACTCACAGTAGGACTGGAGAAAAATGTGAAATTGTTTCTACCCTCCTGTCCCCTGGCCAGTGAGCACCTAACAGCCGCTGGGTACATGTGAGCACGAATGAGCTGAACGTTTTTTCGTGCCTCTTTCCCTCTTGAAGCTGCTGCACACTAGGTTTCCCCGCAGTGATCTCCTGGAATTCTTTCCAAAGCTACCAGTGACCGGCTGCCAATCCACTGGATACTTCTTGGTTCTTTTATTTCTTCTCTCGCTACTTTGGGCCCTGTTGTATCCCTCTGTTGAAACTCTCCCTTGGCTTTTTTCTTAAGTTTTTTCCCTTCTTACTGGTTCCTCTTTGCTGGTAAAGTGTAGGTAATTCCAGGGGCTCACTGTATCTGTCTATATGTCTGTCTGTCTGTCTATCTATGTAAGTTATATATACTCATGTTTTCTTCATAGCAGTGTGTAGCATGGTAATCATAAAACATCTCTCATTAGACATCTTTCGTTAGTGACATTCAGTAGACCTCTTTCATTAGTGCGGGCATATCACTTCCTGAGGTTTCGTTTTTTACTTTATCCATTTTTTTCTATTAGTTTGTTCTCTTAACCTGCTATTTGCATAATCATCTCAAGCCATCTTCTGGTAATGGTTATGTTTAACGCTTGGATTATTCTCAGTTAAGTTCCTTGGATGGTACTGATGAAGCGGTTTAATCTGGCTGTCCTTTCTACTTATAACATTTGCTGATGCTTCAGAGAGCTTAGTTTGGGGCTTTCCTGTCATGGAGATATGTTTCCTGAGTTTTGTTATTTTCACCAGACCAGGGCTGGGGATTTAGCTCAGTGGCACAGCGCCTGCCTGGTAAGCGCGAGGTCCTGAGTTCAATTCCTGCTACCCGCACCCCCAAGAAACCCCCACCAGACCAAGGTATTCTGTGTTCAGTTTGGGGAAGCATCGCTAATCCGTAGGCTTTATAGCAATTTAAGCATCTTCCTAGAGCAGATTCAGATAGTTTGTAATGCATTAGGACCATCAGTGGCCTAACAATAAAAGCTCCAGAGATCATAAAACGTTAGTCTCATGTTCAACACACACACCCTTTTTCAAGGAATCTTTACGATAACATCTAAAGGCTATTTGGAGGCCACGCCTACCCAGCAGTCAGCCCTGGAGGTCAATGGGTGATTTGTTGCAGTCACCGAATTTTCTGCTGGATCTGATGAGCAGCAGTGCTGGCAAGAAGCCGGAAAAAATTACCAGCTACCTAGCTTCTGTTTGTGTTCTCCATCTGTAAAACAGGAGGGCTTTCAAAGTTCAAAAAATACAAGAAAGATACAGGATACACAGCAGTTGCTTGGTACTGGTTACTCAGAGTACTCTGTTTTGTTTTACTAACAGTGTTCCCAACATGCAATAAATGGGTTATCCGAGTCCGTTTGTTTGGAGCTCCTTTTTCATACCTCTTGATAGCTGACTGCTTTTCTTGGTGCTCCTGCTGAAGAACTTCATTACCATGTAGGGAATATTTACTGCAACCTATTTCAGAAGAAGAGAAACCTCAAAAATTTGAATGATTTAATTTAGATAAAAGTAAGTCATCCTCTCAGCCCAAGAAAGCTGACCAAAACTAAAGGAAGAATATGGATTTATGGATTCAAGCCATTGTCAGGCACAGACCCTCAAACCGAGAAGGAACCAGGTTAATACGTCCTGAGCGAAGAAACAGATAGGTTCTGACGGATGCCCAAGTACTGCTAAGCTCTCCATGGTCAGCCCGGCCCTCACCAGCGCTTCCTAGCAGGGTCCCAGCCGTGTGTATCTTTCTGAAGTTCTTGAAGTGGTTCAGATAAAACTTACTCTACGACTGTAGACTTGCTTACCTGCACGGCTTTGGCCAGTGAACACTGTGATATTTTCAGTCTCTAATTAAAGGCCTGATTGTAAACTGGTTCCTGTCTGAAGATACTGGATTCATACTAACTGAACTTCAGATAAACTAATGAGAGCCCACGTTTCCTGTGTCCCATGAGCACCGTGCTGTAGGTCTCTGAAGAAGGCACGCGCGGTCAGGTAAGGCGCTGCACGGATAAGGCACTGAACGCGGTGGCTCCCCGGTGCACAGACTCCGGAGTCCTTCTGGTCATACACTATCTTTACGAAACCAAAGGGGAGCAACACAAAGTATGAGACGCTTCTGAACAAGCTGTATGCTAACAAGTTAGCCTAGAAGGAATGGATGAATTCGCAGATGCATACAAACTACAAAGACCGAATCACGAAGAAACAGACTATTAGAACGAACCAGTAACCAGCAAGAGACTGCATCAATACTAAAACGCTTCCCATTGAAGAAAAGCTCAGAAAGCCTGGTGTGGGGCGCACAGCTGGAATCCCAGCACTTGGGAAGTTGAGGCAGGAGGATTGCTGAAAGTTCGAGGCCAGCTGGACTAGACGGTGAATTCAAGCCCAGCTTAAACTCTCGGGCAAGACCCTGTCTTGGAAAAAAAAAGAGCAAAGCCCATGATCCGATGGCTTCATGCCTGAAGTTCTGCTGAATGTTTTAGGAATCGCTGTGCTTCTAAACACTCCCAAAAACCCAGAGAGGAGCTATGAGCATGAGGCCAGCACCCTCCTATCAAAGCCAGACAAGGACACAAGAACGTCACTGTGCCACACCCGACGAACGCAGACATAAACACACAGCAAAACACCGGCAAGCTGGATTCAGCAGTGTATGTTGAAAGGATTCTTCTGATGAAACAGTGTTTTTCTTTGGGATGCAGGGATGATTTAACATACTCAAGTGTATAAAACTGGTAACACAAATTAACAGAACAAGAAACAAAAAATTTAACAGACTGAGGGACCAAACACAAATTAACAGAACAAGAAACAAAAAATTTAACAGACTGAGGGACCAAAAAAAAAGTCCTAGAAGATCATCTCAATACAGGTAAGACAATTTGACTAAGTTCAGTATCCTTCCATGGTAAAAATTCTGAAGCAGTTAGGTACAGTAAAAATGTACCTCAACCTAACACAGGTCGTACATGGCAAACGCACAGCTAACGTCATTCTCAACGGTGAAGAACAGGAATACGACAACGAAGCCGACTCTTACACAGTGGCGCCTCGGTTTAGCGTTTTGGGGAGGACGGCTGCGCTTGTGTTTGTGTGGAGGGATGGCTGTGGTGCTGTCACCTGATGTGGAGTTTGCAGAAGGAAGGAAGGAAAATCTTGCCGAAGCTTTTGACTGGCATCCGCTTGTTTGCCAACAGAAGCACATGGAACCAAGGCAGTACTGTGCTTCTGCCCAACGCAGCGCTAGTTACACTCCCACCAGTAACGTGGGGGCCTTTTCCTCGTACCCGCACTAGCAGGTGGTGTTTCTTGTGTTCTGGACGGCAGCCTTTCGTAGTGATGGAACCTCGGACTTGTTTCGCTTTGGATTTCCCTAATGGCTGAAGATGCTGAGCATTTCTTCATGTACGGACGGTGTGTCTGTACTACTTCTTTTGAGAAGTGTCTGTTCATTTCTTCGGTCTTTTTTTTTTTTTGAGACAAGGTCTCACTCTAGTGCAGGCTGGCCTTGATTTCACTATGTAGCCTCAGCTGGCCTCAAACTCATGGCGAGCCTCCTGCCTCAGCCTCCCAAGTGCTGGGGTTATAGGCACGTACTACCACGCCAGGCTCTTTGGCCCATCTTTAAATTGGATAATTATGTTTGAGGGTCTAATTTTTTTGAGTTTTCAGATCTATTTTTGGTATTAATTCTCTATCAGAGAAGTAGCTGGCAAAAGATGTTTTTAGGTTGCCTCTTCACTCTGTTGAGTGTTTCCTTTGCTGTGCAGCTTTTAAAATATATCATTTGTTGATTTTTGTTTTTAGCCTTTGTGCTACTGCAGTTCTGTTCACAAAGTCCTTGCCTCTGCCGACGGACTCAAGTGTTTCTCCTACGTTATCTTCCAGCAGTTTCAGCATTTGTTTCTGATTTGATTTTAGTAAAAGGTGAGAGATACTGACCTAGTTTCATTCTTCTGCACATCAAGATAGCACCAGAAACCCTAGGTAGAACAACCATGAAAGAGAGCTAGAAGGCTAAATTGGAAAGGAAAAGTCAAATTGTCTTTGTTTATAACATGATTCTATAACATGATATGATTCTACACATGGAATACTCTAGGAAACCCACTACAAAAAACTGTCAGAATACAGTCAGTAAAAATATAGAGTACAAAAATCAACACACAAAAATCAACACACAAAAATCAGTGGCATTTCTCTTTTTTTTGGTACTGGGATTCGAACTCGGGACCTTGTGCTTGCCAGGCAGGCACTGTGCTGCTGAGCCATCTTCCCGGCCCCCAGTGGCATTTCTATACACTGAAAAATGAGACTAGGTGAAAAAGAAATCAAGAAAATAATCTCATTTATCACAGATACAAATAATGCCTAGGAATCAATTTAACCATGGAAGTCAAGGATCTATACTCTGGAAACTATAAGCCATTCATGAAATTTAATGTTATACAAAAAAATGAAACTGCTCATGTATATGCGGAAGAATGAACATTAAAATGTCCACACTTCGCAAAGCAATGCACAGACTCAGTACAACCCTTATCAAATTTCCAATGATTTAAAAAAAAAAAAACAAAAACAACCTTAAAATTTGTGTACAACAACATATTTCAAATTCCAAAGCCATCTTAAACAAAACCAACAAATCTGGAAACAACATTGCCTGACTTCAAAATATACTACAAAGCTCTAGCAATCAAAACAGAAAGTAGCGGCATAAAAACACACACACAGACCAAGGGAAAAGAACAGAGTCCAGAAAAGAATCCATCGTGTATAAGCAACTGATTTTTGACAAGAGAGCCAGTGGAAAAAGGGCAGTTTCTTCAATAAAAAACCCACATGCCAAAGAATTAATTTGATTATCTCATTCCACACACAATAATCAACTCAAAATTAATTGAAGCCTTAATTAACTAAAGCCTTAAAAATGTAAGACCCAACACTGTAAATGTACTGGAGGAAAACACAGAGGAGAAACTTCATGAAATCGGTCAAAGTTAACGATTTTTTGCATATGAACCTGAAAACACAAGCAACAGAAATGAAACTAGAGAAAAAGGATTGCCTCAAAATACAAAGTTCCTGCAGCCACAGAGACAATGAAAAGATAACTTACAGAGTGAGAGGAAATACTCGCCAAATGTACATTTATTTGGTGAGGGCTAATTCTCAGAATATAAAAAGGACTCTTACAAAATGACAACAAAATGTCAAATAATTCAATTAAAAATGAACAAAAGACCTGAACAGACATTTCTCAAAAGAAACCATACAAAAGGCCAACACGGATATGAAAAAATGCTCACCCTGTCACAGAACTGCAAATTAAAACCACAGTGTCACTTTAGACCTGTTAGAATGGCCAGTATAAAAAGGTGAAAGGTAAGTATAGGTGAAGGTGTGGAGAAAAGGGAGAGCTTACACTCTGCGGGTGAGAATGTTAATCAGTGCGGCTATTACGGAGAACAGTGTGGAGACCTCAGAAAAGTACCAACAACACTGTATGATCCCCAAGCCCCACACCTGGGTAGGAAGTACGCCCGCGGGTACAAAGCCCAACGCTGAAGAGAGGTCGTGCACTTCCCCGTGCACTGCAGCATTATTTACAACAGCCAAGAGGAGGAGTCGGCCCGCGCACCATCAGTGGATGAGGAGGTACAGCAAGTGTGGTGCTTATGCAGAACGGAACACGATCCGACCTTAAAGAACAAAATCTTGTCTTCTGTGACGATATGGATGAACCTGGAGGATTTCACAATAAGCCAGACACACAACGACAAATACTGCTTCACCTTACATGTGGAACCTAAAAAAATCAAACTCACAGAAGCAGAGAGTAGAAGAGTAATTACCAAGGGCTGGGGGAGTATTCGTGAGGTGGTCAAGGATATAAATTTCATTTGGGAGGCATAAATTCAAGAGAGCTACTGTACAATGTAGTTATAGTTAATAATCTATTCTTGAAAATCACTAAACATGTTCTTACCTCAAAAAAGATGTAATATATGTTGTTTAGCTCAATTCAGCCATTCTACAATTATTTCAAAACATCATGTTATACACAGTAAATACAATTTTTATTTGTTCAAAAAATTAAAAAGATACGAAGCAAAAAAAAAGAAATAAAAGCAATCCCCTAGCCCCAAGTTCCATTTAGATCCAGAATAGAAGCGCTGGCTGGGTTGGGCCCAAGCCTGACACGCCACGCGTGTGGTGCTGGGCCGACACCTTAGCCCTCGGGTCCTCACGCGGCCAGTGCACCCAGGCAGAGGAGATGCGCTGTCAGCGTGAGGTCAGGAGGAGCACGGACGGTGCTTAGGCTGATCCCCGGGTGAGACTGCAGAGAAGGACATGGAGAAATGTAAAGGGATTTACACTTGTCTACGAATTGTGAAGACCCACTCCACACATCAATTTTAGAACTTTAGAGAAGTCTCCTAGTTTGGGATTGAGAAAATCAGCTCTGAAGTTCTGACACTTTCCATTTATCAGACTTATGTCCGACTTGCTACTCCACCTTTCTGTGTACCATGGAGCTAGTAACACCTTCCCTGCCTCTCAGTGTTGCTAACCTTACATTAGAATGTGAATGTTTAAAATGATCATTGTAAGGAGATTAACTTTATAAGGTGCCACGTTATGGATTGAATGTCTGCATCCTCCAAAAAATTCTATGTTGAAACCTTAAGCCCTAAAATAGCATGGAGAAAAAAAGTTAAGATTAAATGAGGTCATACGGACGAGACCCTTACCCTACACAATTGATGCCCCTCTAAGAAAAGACACAGGAAGCCAGCTCTTTCTCCCTCTCCCTCTTCTGTTGCATACAAGAAGGAAAGGCCATCTATAAGCCAGAAGGGAGTCCTCCCCAGAAACTGCAACAGCTGGAAACTTGACTTGGACTTGGAGGCTCCAGAACTGTAAGACTGTAAGTTTTTGTTGATTAAGCCATTCAGCCTGCGGTATTCTGTTATAGCAGCCAGAGCAGACTACAGCATCCCCCGGAGGACTTCCATGGTGGAAGTGAGCACATAAACTTCAGCACATGAAAAGGCTAGGCTCTGTGCACCTGGACCCCCCCTGCCTGCCGCTGTCAGGCTACCCGTCCTCATCTGCCGCTCCCGCACAGGCCAGGTAACGTGTTGGTTCCTGAGCACTTCCGCTGCACCTGCGCGGTTCAGGTGTGGCCGTGCGAAAGGAGAGCACGAAGGTCACCCTGGCTTCAGGATGATGGCCGTAAGTGCCACGACACCATGGCCACACACCCAGCCAAACTCGAGTCCAAATGCGACAAATTTTCCATGAAAATACATTTAATCTTACTCAGATCAGAAATGCTGTTTTTCTCCCAAAGCACCTCCAAAACATTTCCCCGTGATAAAATATTTTCTGGAAAAAAATTCTGAAGATAGTGAAAGAAAACATTTTTCTTTTCATGTTGATCTGCTACAAGGTACATAATCAAAAAATTTCAATGTTTGACTTGTCTGCCGGGTGTGTGGAGTATTCCTTCTGAAGGGGGCAATCACAATCAGAGTATTACGATTTGAAGTGTGAAAAAGTTCTCGCCTACCTACGTCCGTTAACAGTGATACAGTACACGAAGGAACAGCCCTCCCCAGAAGGGTTTCACCGAGCAGAGGAGAACAGGGGAAAATGACACAAAAGGTGGGAGACGCTTCTGAAAATACTTGCTAGTGTTCGGCTGAAGTTTAATTAATAGAGTGAAAAATCAATGTCCTGTGATCAGGAACTTCAAAGATAAGCCAGCTCTCTTTCTGGCACTACTGATCTTGCCACAATTCTGCTTCCAAATTCTAGAAAGACAAAACAATTTAACAAAACTAGAGAACGCAGAGACTTCCGGCTCCGGGCCTCCAGGAACGGCCCGCACCGCGGCACTGCGCTGCGGTGGTCCCGTGTGGAGGAAGGGCGGCTTCGCCACCGGCCGCGCTGGCTGGGTGGCCGCTGCCTCCCTGAGCGCGCACCACACGCAGCGCTGTGGGAACGCAGGCCTACTGGGCCATCTTGCGGATCATGTAGTTGAGGATGCCCCCGTTGTGGAAGTAAGTGAGCTCCACGTCAGTGTCAAACCTCATGACAGCCTGGAAGGTCTTCCCAGTGTCCAGCTGCAATGACAAAGAAGCAGGCGCGAGCCCCGTCTCAGGGCGATTCCGCCTGGCTGGTCCTCCGGCTCCCACGCTAGATCTGAGCAGCCCGTGGGCCGTGGCCGTGGCCCCAGCCGACCACAGGGTCCGAATCTACTTCCGGTAAGACCCCTGGGAGACTGACGGGAGAAGCACCGTGCAGCAGAGTGATGCAGGTGAGGGCATCTGGGAGCCAGAGTGGCTCTGAGGGCAGCGGCCAGTAGTGACAAGGAGACAGGACGCGTGAAGCCCTCCCCGAGGACAGGCGTGCGCTGGGACAGAGGCGTCGCCGGGGCTGCGCTTTAGGCAGCTGACCCGGCTCCGCCCAGAACACAGACCTCGGCAGTGGACACTCCTGCTTTCCTCACCGAAGGCTCTGTAATTCTCACCCCGGCGCTCCGGTAAGAAGCTTCGGGAGGAGCTAACGTGTAGGGTGATCCCATTTTTGTAAGAACAAAAAGGGTTTTTTGGGTAATAGGAAAATGTCATTTTTCTGAGCTTTCATTACTATGCTCTGGGCTGAGGGGGACTGGAGGGAGGACGGAGGCGGGCTGGGGGGGCGCGGTGAGACTGGCCGGGTGATTGCCCTGTGAGTAATGAATCAGAGGGCATCATCCTCACTGTGTTGTGAAGACAAGTCGGACTCCAAGTCTAACGCAGTCCTACTGAGTTTTAATATTTTTTCTCCCAAATCCCACTGATTTCCTTTTAGCAAGATTGACTGCAAGCAAAGGGCCCTTGGGCAGAGGTCCCGCACGGGGCAAGGCAGGCTTACCTTGACCTGGACTTTCATTTGTGGCCTGAGACTTTCTGGAATGATGATAGTGTATCGTTCGTGCCCTGTGAGTCCCAGAGAGTCTGCACTTTCACCAGGGAGATACTCGAGGGGGATCACTCCCATCCCAACCAGGTTACTGCGGTGAATGCGCTCGTAGCTCTCGGCCAGGACAGCTTTGATTCCCTGAAAAATCAAGAGAGCAGTTTGAACACAGTGCCAGTTTTTTCTTCAGGTACCTGAAAACTTTACGGAAGGATTCTTGAGTCAAGACTTCCCACAGTTAATTCACTGTAAGTACCTGTTAACCTTTCAGGAGACGTTATCCTCCGGTTAGACATAAGAGCAGTGAGCCTGATCAGCTACCGTGCACCAGCACTAGGCAAGCACTTAGATGAATTCTCTGCTTCTACTCTCCGCAGCACTGGGACACAGCAGACGCCATTACTGTCTCTCTTTGCTCAGTAATCACTGGTACGATCTGGTATTCCAATTATGTAGTCTGACCACGTTCTCAGCCACTCTGAGATACAAGATCATTTAGCAAACTTCCACGCATGGGAAGCTATACCAGATACATAAAGAAAATTCCCTTGAATTTTTCTATTATTGCAGATGTATCAGGAGACACAGAAGATTTAATAAGAAAACAGTTTTCAGGTTTGATGTGGTAGGTGGTGCATGCCTATAATCCCAGCTACTTGGAAGTCAAAAACAGGAGGATCTACAACTTTGAGGCCAGCCTGGGCAATTTAGTAGATTTTGTCTCAAAAGGAAATAAAAAAGTATTAGAGATGTAGCTCAGCACTCACTGGGTTCAACTCCAGTACCAATGAACAAAAAGCAGTTTTCAGAACACACCAGTGCAAAGCGACTACTGCAGACCTGTTCAACTTCCCGTTTCAAGGAGAAAACTGCTGAACAGTCTTGATATGAGGCTCCCTCCTTTACAGGTATTTTATACGTACTGTATAACTGACAGTATGGAACAATATAAAGCAGCGTACCTAATTAGAATCCCCCATTAACTCATACTTGATAGTTAATGTTAATTGTAATAAATATTACATACCTAAAAGGTCTCTTAATAGCTAGGACATACTTTTGAGGCACCTGCCTCAGACTCACTCAGGGGAGCTTATTAAAAATATGACTCAGGGGCCGGGAATGTAGCTCAGCAGCGTAAGTGCCTGCCTGGCAAACGTGAGCTCCTGAGCTCAATTCCTGGTACAAAAAAGAAAAGAAAAGAAACACTTCAAAGTTTAAAAAATGACTCTGAGCCAAGTGTGCTGGCACATGCCTGTAACCCCAGCCCTCAGGAGGCTGAAGCAGGAAGACTGCCGTGAGTTTGGGGCCAACCCTGGCTACAAAGTGAGTTCAAGGCCAGCCTGAACTGCATAGTGAGACCTTCTCTCAAAAAGACAAAAGAAGAAACCCCAAAGCCCCAAACCCTGACTCCTAGGTGCTTCCCCGGATCTGCTGCGTCAGGCTCACTTGCACAGGGCAGGAGGGGCCAGGGAGTCAGGGCTGCTGAGCAAGGGCTCTCAAACTGTACTGCGGGTTAGTCACCACGGGCAGCTTCTTAAAATCGCAGTCTCCAGGCCTTTCTCCTTGGCTAATAAAAACGGAACCCCTGGGGATTCGATCCAAGAATAGTCACTTAAGAAAAAGTCACAGGTATTTTCTGAATTGGGAACCACTGCCTTAGGAGGGCAGATTCTTTCAGGACGGGATATTTGGCAGCGATGTACACGTGTGTGTTTACTCGGGGGCGTGGAGAGCTTTCTGAACGCAGCGCCGGGTCCCCAGCTCTGCACCGCGGGGGCTGAGACCACAGCTGTCGCCCTCCCGAGCACCTGGCAGCACCGCCCGTGGCTCCGCCCAGGCAGCCGCGGAATGCCGTCACCCAGCCTCCTGCCCGCCAGCCCCAGCCACTCTGCGGGAATCGCAGGCTCTGCGGTACCCCTGGGGGTCAGTTCTGCTTGTCCTCTGTTAGAGTTTAGAGCGCCCAACCTGGTCGCTTACTGTCCTGGTCTTAATTCCACTATCCACCCCAACCCCCGCCTGAAACCCTCTTGTTTTATTTCTCTGGCTCTGTTCAGCAGTTTCCAGAAAGGGAAGTCTGTGACCCACTACCAACTAGTCGGAGCACATCTTTCCCCCCGTTAGAGCAAAGGAAGCGTGCTGCGGCTCAGTCCTGGATGTCTCCCCAGAGCCCCGTGTGCTCACCCTTGGGGCTTCAGGGAGGTGCCCGGCCATGGGGGAGCGACCCTGGCTCTGTGTGTGTGACACTGGATTCCTACACCGGTGGGCTTAATGCCGGGTGTGACGCTGGCGGGAAGAGGGGGTCACTGGGAGTGTGGCCCGGAGCAGCTCAGACCCCTCCTCCGCCCTCCACCTTCCCGCTGCCCTGCCTGAGAGGCCCCCTCTGCCAGCCGCCCCGCCCTGGAGCCGGCCGTGTAGAAGCCTCTGCACAATGCAAGCCAGAGCAGACCTCTCCTCCTGTAACTTCTGGGTGTCTCGTATTGTGTCCCAGCAGCGAGGAGAAAGAACCTCAAAACAGAATTAAAAACAGCTGGGGTGGAGTCCGATGGCATCCGAGGGTGGCCTGCCGGACAGCCACGGTCCGCACTACTTGTGGGCGCTGTCTGTGTGAGCTGTACGTGATTTAAGTGAACATCGGCTAATCCCTGCACCCTCCCGGGGACTGAAGCTGGCAGCGGCTCTGGCTCGTCACTGCTCACAGGGCCAGCCGGCACCACCCCTCCTACGGGGCACCTCAGGAGGGCAAATCTCAAAGGGCTGGCGGCTCTCGAACGCTGTCTGGCCAGGCGGACAGCGCTGCTCTTTCTCACCGAGACACCTATCCACACATCTCTCACAGGCAGTGAAAGGCAACGAAAAGTGCGCACTCCTCGTTTTTCCAAGAAACGTGGGGTCTACTCTTGCCAAGGTCCCTCCCGGAAGGGCCCGGGTTCCTCACGGTGCCCATCTCTGAACTTGCCCATGCCTTACATTTATCTGGGACAATGGCACTAATAAACAGTGGGTCCCCAACCTCTGAGAACTCTGAAAAACATGAAACTTCTATATAAGCATGTAACTATCACGTCTGACTTCACAAACCTCCTGCGAAACTGATCTACAGACGCCCGAAGTCCAGGGGCTGCATGGCAGGCCTGTCTAAAGGACTTGCTCAACTTTAGATTGTTAAGCTCCACTAAAGGAAGTAAACGTAGATCCACCAAGAAGCAGGAGATAAGCACTAACACCTTCCAGAACTCGCTCTTCCGTCTTGAAAGGTGAAGCAGCAAACTGTTCCGGGGCCCCCTCCCCGCCCGCTTCCAGCCGCCCCCCGCCGGGACAACTCTGCTTCGCACGCACCAGCAGGAAGGGGCCTTTGGCCGCCCAGTCTCGGGAGCTGCCTGCGCCGTACTCTCTGCCGGCCAGGATGATCAGAGGAAGGCCCGCTTGCTGGTACCTCTCAGCAGCGTCGAACACATCGAGCTGAGGGAGAGGAAAGGAAGGTTTTACCGATACATGAGAGGCAAAGCACGTGGCTGCGGGCGCCGCGCCCCGGTGAGAGCAGGGGTCGGGTCGGCATTTGGCCGAGTCAGTGTGAAGCCAACGGGACACTCAGCCAACGGGGCACACGGCCCACGAGCCCCACGTAACTCATCTATTTCTGTCAGACCGTGGCTCCCACTCTGACGGAAATGCCTAACTGTTGCCCAGTTTTATAAAAACATTCAGATTCTGGGGCATTAAGGAAAAAAAAGGAAACTGAATCAGTTTTTTTTCTTCCATTACCTAAACTGTTTTAAAACTCAGTATGAGAGTCTCAGCAATGGTCAGCTATAAAGGGTAGCAAAACACACAGTAACATGTTCTGAAATTATATAGAACAAAAATAAATTCATTTCTGCTCTACATGCAGGTCAAGATGAAGATAGTGGAAACATGGATGGCAGCACCAATTGTAAAAGGAAATAAACAGCTAATATTTTTACATATGAGAAACACCCTACTCACACAGAGGTAGTTCTCACAAGAATCTGAATATTACGCTGAGTTAAGATTTCAGCAAGACATTTGAGAATTATTTTCCCTAGCTATGTAAGTCAGCAAGATAAAAGATAAACATTTAATCAGACTCTGAAGTAGGCTTTCCACAAATTATTTGATGGCCCGACAGAGCTGTGGTTAATTTCACGTGGCAGTGAGTAGATCTGGGAGGGCCCCGTGTGCTTTGGCTGGACAGAACTCATGAACACGGAAACTGCTGCAGACATAGTAAACGTGTTCCTGGGCCCAGCCACATGGTCAGGAGACTTCCCAGACCAGGGAGAAAAAACCACCTGCTATTTACAAAGATCGCTAACTCCGTGTGCTCAGACTGCGGAAGTACGTCTTTCAAAAAGTGCTTTCAAAACTACTACTGAGCTGAGCATTCGGGTCACTGCAGGCTGTGCTGCTCAAGATCACAGGGACCGAGCAGGCCTAGGATCTGGCTGTGCTGATGCGTCTGTTACGTGAGCCACGCTGGACGGCTCACCAGGCAGCAGTGCCCGGCACGCGCTCCTCCAGAACAGAGCACGGAGTTCCTGGCACCGCGCCTCGCGTCCCTAGGCAGTGTGCGAACCGCCAGTTCTTACTTTGCCATCTGCACCCTCATCTGTCCCTTCGCTACCTTGACGAGGATTTAGTTCTCCTCCTCATCGCCTCCAACCGCTGCTGCCCCCACCCCGCCGCGTTCCCCCGCCCAGCCTCCCACAGAAGATACCCAGACGTTTGGGCCACTTACCTGATACCTGCATCACTGCAATTATGTAAGCTCTATTTATAGACAAGCCACGCAATGTACTGTGATTTCTTCTTCTTGGCAATTTTTATAACGTTGCTACTGGAACCTTCTTTCTGTTTGGCGTGCTCACCTGTATCTGTGCCCCTACCCAATGATTAATTTCTAACTGCTCTGCTCAGAGCACACATCTTTAAAGTCAGTCGAAACACCCTGCGGTGCACCGTGAGACTCTTCCTAGGGGCGGGGCCCCTCCTGAGCCCTGCGGTCTGCCTCCAACCTGCACGGCTGCCCCCCGCGCTGTGCTGCGTCCCTGTGACCGAGGGGGCTTCCTTCTCCGGCACCCTGGGCGTTCCCTTCCTTCGCTTTTCCGGATCCCACATCTTCCCTCTTTTGCTTGCTCCCTCAAACGTTTCCAGGCAGTGTCACAGCATCCTTAGGGGAAGTGACACACGATCCACACGTGGCAGACACTACGCCAGCTTCACGGGTCATTATTCTATTTCACTTTATGCCCTAGAGCTTTACATGGTAAATATTATTTCCACTCACAGGTAAGAAAAATGAAGTTTAGCGAAGTAAATAACTGGCCACAGCCGGTCTGAGGTGGAGCTGGGGTTTAAACCCAGACTGCGTGGCTTTAATAAAGTGCGGCATCTCCGTCTCACCCTCCACCCCCACGGGCGAGCAGCCCCCGGCGTGGTGCCAGCTCCAGACGGCCTCTTTCAGCGCTCAAGCAGGCCTCTAAAGGCCTCCAGACTCCCTCTCTTCCTGCTGGGCACCGTGCATTAAAGTATCTGCTAATTAGCACTTAATTAATTAGACCACAGGGCAGCATGCCTTGGTAAACGTCCTCTAATTTAAGGCAGGATTTCCCATTGAAGTAGTCTGATGGAATTTCAAAATATTTTAAAGCTCAATTTCCGAGAAGCAAGACTCAGTTAAACCACAAAGTGGACTCTCTAGGCAAGACGTTTTTAATCGGCGTCAGTGATAAACTCAGCACATTCGGGCACCTGGCAGGAGGGGGCGGCGACGAGAAACGCAAAGCGAAGTCACCGAGTAAACGCAACCCCCAGAGCCTGACCACACTGACTTCTAACCGGAGCAAAGGAGACGATACTCACGATTTCTCCGGAAGGGAGATGTACAGTCTGTGGTGCCTGTTTGTTCAAAAATTTGTTTAACAAGCGAATGTTGGCAAACGTGCCCCGTGCCATGATGGCGTCATTACCCCTGCGGGAGCCGTACGAGTTGAATTCTCTTGGAGTGAGGCTGCGAAGGCAGACGGGAAAGGAGCCAGGTTAGCGACGCAGGCAGAATCACACTTAGAAGAGAGAGAAAGTGCCCCAAACCTAGCTGCTTCTCTGGATCTGTGGAGCCCTGCCGTCTACGGCAGAAAAGCGGTGCTCGGAGCTTCCAGCGAGGGCGGACGAGAAGCAGGTGGTGCAGGCTTCCCCTGGGGTCAGCTGCCGGTCTCTCACGGAGACGTTCTGAAAGGGGTGTTTATTTTATTTACTTAGAACGGTGGCCTACCATCTTCACAGGTGGCGAAAGCCTGAAGTACAAGTGAGAAAACGAACAGAATAATCGGGGTGGGGCAGTCAGATGGAGCCGAGAAAAAGGGACAACAGGACGCTCCACCAGCTGCCCAGGAACAGGTGTGCATCTGTCCCCAAGTTCGCAGGAACTCAGTTCAAAGGGAAGAAACCCCAAGTAATTACAGCTTTCTTACGGTAAAGAATCAAAGCAATGCCGAAGAGGCAGAACAGCTATTTCTGGTCTCAAATCAGAGGAAGATCTTGTCTGTGGGAACCAGTCAGCGGAAACTGTGATGTAATCTCACAGTGAACACGGAGTGGTTCACTGGCCCATGTCTTAAAAGATTAGGGGGTGGGGTGTGGGTGTTAATATTACTTAATGGTTAGATTTAATTTGAGGATTGAGTTTATGATTGGGCTTTAAGAGCAGGCAAACATACATAGGAATCTTTGAAATTCCATTCAAAACGTGACTATGTGCATTTTTTGGTGGAAAACATTATATTTGCTTTCATTTCATTTCCTAAAGAGTTCATGTGTCAAAAGAGGTCAAGAATCACCATTACAAAAACTATGTGAGCTGGAAGTGCTGGCACATGCCTATAATCCAGCATTCTGGGAGGCTGAGGCAGGAAAATTGCAAGTTCAAGCCCAGTGTGGGCAAGGCAGTAACATAGCAAGACCCTATTTTAAAATTTAAAAAATTTTAAAAAGGGCTGGGGCTGTAGCTCACAGTGAAGGCCCCGTTTCAATCCTCAGTATCCAGAATTACAAACCAACCAACCAAAATAAAAAACAAAAAGTATGCGGGTTATCTGAAGAGGTGATGCGGGAGGTGGGGAGGAGGCGGACCATTTACCTCCCAAAGGATCCCTGAAGGATCAGATTTTGGAACAGCTGACCTCCAACAGCAGCAGCACGTTAGCTAAGAACAGGTGCCCCGGCAGGCTCCCTCTGGGACAGGCACCCGCCTCCGAGGGTCCTGGGAAGAGGGGACTGCGCTGAAAATTCGGAAAGCTGTTTTCTGTAAAGTTCCGTTTGTTGCCAGGGCAGGCGGTAACACGCTGCAGGCCGCAGCACCGCCCGGCCTCAAGCGCAGGCAGGCCCTCGAGCTGCAGGCAGGGGCGCGTGCAGGCGGAAGGGCACACTTGCTCAGCCCCTCTTCCCCGCGCTGTGCTGAGATTCATGTACTGGAGGGCTCTTCCTGGAAGTTTCTCAGCTACAGACAGACAAAGCGCTCGGCTTTCAAGGCTTCAGCGCGAAACCGAAGTTTGGTTCCAAAGGGACCCCGTGACAGAAACACTGGCTGCATCGCTCACTGACCCCGCTCTCCCCCCTCGCTCCCACTTACCCTCTGTGAGTCAGATAGCGAGCGGCAGGGCTGTTCCTCGCAATGTTTCCAGCTGGAGAGATGTGGTCAGTTGTTACCGAATCTCCCAGATGTAGTAACACGTAAGCATCCACGATAGACTTGGGGCGCTGGAGGTCCAGAGTCTGGCGAAGAATACAGGCAGTCAGTGTTTTCCGTCCCGGACCGAAAGCACAGGGCCGCTCTACCTCAACACTCTCCTTTCCTGGTTTTTACCAAGGCAGCGTCTCTGAAAGGGGGAGGTACCTCTACCCCGAATGTTCCTATCTCAATCCTGAAGAGCAGGGCAAGCATTACGAGCACTGCCCAGGCACGCGGCTGCACACAGCATCCTTTCCGCACCCCTCACAACTCCAGGGCGCCCGGACAGCAAGCGGAATCCTGTCCTCTCGCCACGGCGAGTGTGGGAGAAGGCAGGCTCCGGCTGAGACAGAGACGGAGTGGGGCAGGTCCTGGGGCTCTCCGCCCGGAACCCAGTCTCCCACTTCGCCGTGCACTGTCCGGGTGGCAGCTGCTCCCCAGGGGGCCTCGGCACCGCCACACGGAACTGAGGGCGGAGGAGCTGTCACCGCAGCCCAATATCCCAGCTGCCGGACACAGCCGGCATAATCGGTTTGACTATGCACAGATTTCATTCAAAGAAGCAGTCAGACCAAGGACAGGAGGTGATAAAGTCTGATTTATACAGAACTTGCTTTGTTGAAAAATAAAACGTCATACCAGGTTTTCAAAGAATGGCGGTGATTTAATGTATGTAGATTTGGGATTCCACAGATACAGCTTATCTGATGGGGCTTCTAAGGCATTCCAGCTTTCATTCACAGTCTTAAAAAAAAAGAGAAAGACAGATCGAATCACATTCCATTGCAGGGAAAATTCAAATATGTAAACAGGAAACATTCAAGTTATGAGATACAATAAAAGCTGTTTTTATTCTTTATAGACACACGGAAGAGTCCTTTTATCATTTCTTTTTGAGACAAGGGTCTCACTGTGTAGTCCAGGCTAGCCTTGAACTCACTGTGTAGCTGAGACTGGCTTCAAACTTACGGTAATCCTCCTGCCTCAGCTTCCCGAGCGCTGGTATTACAGACGTGGTGTCCCCACACCCAGCATTTTTATCCTAATTTAATGTCATAAACTAATTTCAAAATACATGAACTCTGGATGGACAGGAAAATGGTGGGAACGATCCTACCTCCTGGGGCTGCACCTAGGACTTCATTCCAGGGCTAGTTAGAGGGACACGAGGCTGCCTGAGGTTCTGGCCTTCTTGCTCCCTGAGGGAACCCGGCAGCCCTGCTGTGAGCTGTGAGACAGTCCAGGCAGGAGGTGCTGAGGGAGGCTGGCAGCTAATGGAGAAGAACTGAGGACTTCGGCCTGGCGGCACATAAGTGAGCCTACGTGGGTCCTCCCAGGACGACAGCCCCGTGACATCCGGCCCGAGCCTTGCGACGGTCGGGGCGCCAGCAGCGCCGCATCTTGCTTGCTGACCCCGAAAAGCTGACATACGCATGTGGCTTACTAAGTTTTGGGAGGTTAATACACCATACAGCAATTGCTATGGAAAATACATATTTAAAAACAACTTAGGAAACAGTAATATGACTGAACCTGGGGGAAGTTATTTACTCAGTACTTGGGATGTGGACTCCACTGGAGCGGACAGCGAAGGGCTGCCGGGGTGCGTTAACTGGCCTGGACTCTCTTCACACAGCCATGAGCCCGGCCTTGAGAGGACTGCATGTAAGCCCTGGCAGCCGAGCTCCCGACGGCTTCCTGACGGTGGAGAGCGCAGTGCCTGATAACCGCGGCCCCTTCACACTGCGGGAGGCGGGGGCGCTCCGACAGCGGAAGAGATGTTACTCTCTGCTGTTCATACTCTGGCTGGCCTCAAGGGCGACGATGCGGTGAAGGAGGGAGAGGCTTTCTCGTAGGTGCCTGGGGTGGGGGCAGCGAGGGCCTCACCTCTATTTTCTGGTAGACCTCCTTAAACATCCCGGGGATGACGTACTGCTGCTCCACCGCCTGGATCTCAGCTCGAGTCGGCCAGATGTCTCTCAGAAACACCGGCTGGCCCTTTGCGTTCACCCCTGAGGAAAACACACTCACTGAGAAAGCCCCAGCCCTGCCCGCTTCACGCCTGCAGTCAGGTCCCTCTCCTCTCGGGCTCATCCTTTCCACAGCGTCCCGGGAGCACGGGGCGGGTGAACCTGACCACCGCCCCAGGGAAAGCACGGCGGGTCTCCCGGAGCTTCTGGCCACACTTTCATCAACCGATCAATACGTAACCTCATCTTAGGTGCTCTTTAAGGACATCACACTGAACGTGCACTTGCGTCTCCACGTCTGTGGGTTCCGCCTGTGCTGGTTCAAACAACAGAGGATTGAAAATATGCAGGGAAAGCTGCATCTCCACTGAGCATGTACAGACGTTTTTCTCATTATTATTCCCTACGTGATGAACATTTACACAGTTATTTACATTGTACCAGGAATTGTAAGTCATCTCGAGATGACCTGTGTAGACCGGATACAGATACTACGCCGTCTTATACAAGCTACTTGACCATGGGTGGGTTTGCTGATATCCTCAGGGGTCTGAAACCAACTCCCCGGAGGTACCGGGGCCTCACTCCCTTCCCGCCAGCAGCACTCTCACGCCCGCCGGAGCGGTGCCTGTCTGAGCACAAGGCACACCCGTCACACAGCACCGACACGCGTGCAAGCAGGTAGCGGAGGGATGACCGTCACGCTCCGGGACACTGCCGTAATCAGGATCAAGTGCATCTCCGCAGTTATGATTCCCTGAAAGTAAACCTAAGGGCCACCGTTTCCAGATGACCTGGTCTGCCGGTCACGGACTGAGGGCAGCGTAGCAAGCAAGAAGCAGGAAGAAAGGAGATACAGTGCCGTTCTCCTGAAGTCTAACAACTGAAGCGTCTGGCAGTGTCCTCATGAAGCCTCTGTTAAAGCACTGCTATCGCGAGAGCACAGCGGGTGCAGGAAAGGGACTCTCCACTGCGGTCAGCATTTATGTCCCTGAGCTCGGCGGCCTGCGTTCACGTCAGCTGCGCCTCTGCTGTGCACGGGCAAGCCCTGAAAAGATCCTCCATCGTCTTATCTCTGGAGGTTCTACACTTCTTTTTTTAATCACAAAAGCAGCAGCTTTCTTCCAGTAATATCTTTGAATTCACTGGGAGAAAGACCACAGGCACACAAAGGAAATCTTACCCAGCGGCTCCTTCTCAAAATCGATCCTGACGGTCCCGGCGATGGCGTAGGCTATTACCAAGGGGGGGGACGCCAGATAGTTGGCCCGCGTGTTGGGGTGGACTCGACCTTCAAAATTCCTGTTCCCAGAGAGCACGCCGACAGCGACTAGGTCTCCCTGCGAGACACACAGTACCCTGTCACAGGGAGGAGTGGCGGCCGCGTTTCTCACTCGGGCCACCGGCGACAGCTTTCACATCACCTGATGTGGCCCTTGCACCCCTCGCCGGCCTCTCCTGAGAACAGGTGGGAGGCGGGAGGGCGGTGGCTAATGGAGCCACATATCACACAGAAGACACAACAGCTCGAACAGCTACAGGCCGCTGGAGTTACCTGGGCGATGGCTTCGACCACGGGCTCAGGTAAGGGCCCACTGTTGCCGATGCAGGTCATACAGCCGTAGCCCACCACGTCAAACCTAGGTGTCGGAGGAAGCACAGGAAGGAGCCGCTTTCCGCGAGCCCTCCGCTCCCCGCCGTGGGCCACAGGTCAGAGGAGCGGGAGAGCAGCGCAAGTTCACGACAGTGCTCTTTCTGTGACGTGTTCCCCCCGAAGAGCATTTAGGTAAAACGTATCTAAGGAGAACTGAACTAGCAGTTTTTCTTAAACAGGAGTCAAACGATCTAGAACATTTAAAAGTAGAAATGAGATACGCCTTTAACGTCTCATTGACTATTACTATATACTCCCGAGGACTTCTGAATTTTATGAGACATGTCATCCAAATGGGATAATACGGAAGTTGAAGAAACTGCATTCGGCAACTAGTAACTCATTTGTCTCAAAAACTCAGAAAGTTGTGAGCCAGGGCCACGTCGGGGCACGTGAGACAGGGCGCAGCGCCGAGTCAGAGGCCGGGCTCGGGGCCCGGGCGGCGCCCTTGTTGGTGAACAGCCAGCACAAGTGCACGACGTGGAAGAGCGCTCCCTCACCCCAGCTGAGACAGGTAAGGCATGACTCCACTTTCTCGGAGGTAGTAGGTGACCACGCCGCTTCCCGGAGACAGGCTGGTTTTGACGTAGGGCTTCACGTTCAGGCCCGCCTCCACAGCCTTCTTTGCTAACAAGCCTGCGAAATGGCAAACACAGACAGAGTGGATGGCCGCCTGCTCAGGGTGCCAGGAACGCTTCTGGAAAGAGCCTGACTTTCTAGCTGCATTTCTTGCTACTGCCTGACAAGGCGCCCTTCCTGACGGCACCTCTGTCCAACAGAAATCAAAAGTGCACTGGCTAAAGTCATTTACATCCATGCAACAGACGCAGAAGTAATCACGGACAGGAGGAGAGAGATGTGCTTCCTTTTCATCTCTTTAAGAGCGATAAACCCTAATCCCACTCGGGAATATGCTACAAACTCAGTTTTTAATTTCTGGGAGAAAGGTAAGCAATCTTTCTAATTTTTTGACTTGGATGAAAATTAGTAACTGTAAGGGCTCTTATAATTCGATGGAAAATACATGAATTGTGTACTGATTGGTGAGAAATACAGCCATCAGAAAAGTAAAAATCTGTACTACAGACAGCTCTCGAGTGGAAGGTTCTTGACATTTGGACTTTGGGCAAATACAGAGTCTATTCTGTTACAGGCACACAAGCTGTCCTGACTTAGCAAGTGTCACAGAGACTGGACAGAAATGAGCAGCAGAGAGAGGGTGTAAAGGACGAAGTGCTACAGACACGCTGGGATGTGTCCTAAGAAAACGGGTTTGCTCCAGACACGGGGAGCTTGAGTGGCAAATGATGAATTCTTCCACAAAGTCTTCCTTTCTCCCATAAAGGAAGAACTGTTGCCACTGGTCTGTGGAATGAAGGAAATTCTCGGGGATGACTGAACATTTGGAAACTAAAGAGACCTTGTATTCGCAGAAGGCTGCGTGTAAACACAGCAAGGATGGACTCGCCTACTTAGCCGGAACTGCACAGCAGGCTAGGTGCACTGCGTTTTATCAACCAGGGCCCTGCGCCCCAGCTCAGATGTGCCTGTCAGCACACCGAGACAGCACCACGTTTCCTGTCGGGGCTTCACTGAGAACCAAGTCTGCAACAACAGTTTCTTTCTTTCTTTTTCTCTTCTAAAGTCTAACACATTCTGAGCTTTGCCAGAAACTGAGCTTCCTTAGCTGTTCCTATTTTCTGTGCTAATTCTAAGGAGACAGACTACTATGCATTTCGAATTTTTAAAAATGCTTTGGATGATATTTGTGTAGATAGCTCTCAGCCAATAGACCCCGGGACCCAGAAAGACAAGGTGCCCTCAGGAATTACGCCGGGTCCTCCTGTGGGGCACCCGCCTGCACCTCCACACGGCCACGTGGACGAACCCAAATGTACCTACCCGCTCCTAGCATCACGGATGGGTTACTGGTGTTCGTGCAGCTGGTGATGGCCGCAATCACCACGGAGCCATGCGCAAGCGCAAATTCCTCGTTGTTGTAGATAAACACCTTCTGGTCACTGTGACGTTCTGGAGCAATTTGGAATCCTTTAAATCCTTGCTGAACGAAGAAAAAAACATATAGTCAAAAGTTCTCATTTTGGAAGAAGGGAGAATACTTCGGTAATTAAGTGTGTGTGTGTGTTTCGTTTTTATACTGGGAAATCAAGCCCAGGGGCACTCCAATGAGCTTAACCCTAACCTGAAAATAAAATGACAAATTAAGATAAATTAAGTTATCCAGGCTGGCCTTGGACTTGTGATCCTCCTGCCTCAGCCTACCAAGTAGCTGGGATTACAGGCTTATACTACCATGCCTAACTATAATTTTAAAGGTCAGTTATTAAAAACACAAATATCTGTGCCAATAACTCCAAAACGCTACAGAAAAATTAAACTTCTTTATTCTTTATAAAGATTTATTACAAAAGGCAGCCATAATTCCTGAATCTAACTCTGTATTGAAATTAGTAACGATTACTTTTTTCTCTTCTCAAAAATGAAAATACAAAAACTACAGATTTTAGGTCGGTCTCTATGGAACTCCATGATGTTACTGTTTAGTAACAGTATTACACATTGCTGGATACAGTCTGGATACAGACTAACGCTGCTGATTCTAATGTTTTGGAAGTTTAGAGAAAGATGCAATTTTGATCCGATTCAACTGATCATGATCAGTAATGCAAGGTGCAGCTGAAGACCTGGCGTAAGGCTGGTGTCCCACCACTAAAATCCACCCCGCATCTCGTTCATCAGGAAATGTTCACCGAGAGATCTGTGTGCGGGACACTCTGCTCAGAACTCTGCAGGACCAAGACGATGCCACACAAACCCTGTGCTCCAGGGCAGAGCTCGGCATGGGAAACCACGCGTGCAAACGGAGAAACAATGGCACAAGCAAAAGAGGGCGGAGTCCCGCCAGGGTTCCAGACCTGGGCCCTGCAGCTCCCGTTAGGGAAGCTCAGTTTCGCTCTGGCATATCGAGGCCAGGGTGCAGAAGAGCCGCTGTGTGCGCAAAGGCTCACGCATATGAAGAAACGGGGCCCAGCAAATGCAGAGGAGACAGGCAGGCGGGGTGGAGGAGCACCGCACGCAGGCCTGCAAAGCCCGGCTGAGCAGAGCGCAAAACACACGAGTCCTGCGCAAAGTGACCGTGTGCTCCAGGGAAGCTGCCGGCCCGGCCCGCTGGTAACGGTCATCAGGATTGTAACACACAGAAGGAACACCCTCGGCGGCACCAGACTTGAGAATGATCACCCCTGAGGAGGCGGGCCTGGGCATTAGGACGGGGCAGGGCGGGAGGCTCCTACCTTGGCTCCCAGGCAGCTCTCGAAGTCCCTTTTCATGTCAGACACAGCAACCTTGTCTTGAGGCCTTTTGGGTCCACTGCAGCAAGGGACTACTGTTTTCAAATCTAATTCCACAACCTGTTCACCAAGGGAAAAGGCGCTATAGAAACAATCCACATTGTACTGACCAAGAAGAAACCCACGCCACGCCAGAGAGTTAAAAACATCACAACAACAAAGAAAGCAAATAAACAAAACCACCATATTCCAAACAAGGAGACCAGTGCTCACTCTAACACTTAAGGCAATCAGTTCCTGAAGGTCCAAATGGCGCCTAGCCAGGAACAGGCAGAAAGCTTTGCGGTTCTAAGAGAGACCTGGGTGGACACTGCTGTTGCTGCTGGTGTCTTTCACCCACCCATCCCTGTAAAGCAGATCGCGCCTGCATTTCATGTCCTAAATTAGGTTGAGACAGGTTTCCTAGGAAAGGATACATAAACCACCGTCTAACGCGATTTGGAAGGCACGCAGCTACTAAGTTATCAATGGCAGGAAAAGGGTGTCAGTCTGAGTACTTCCTTCCCTCAGTGAAATATGAAACAAAACAAGGGTCCCTGGCCGAGGGATTTAGCTGGTGGCACAGAGCCTGCCTGGAAAGCATGAGGTCTTGGGTTCGATTCCCAGGAAAAAAATAAATAAACAAGAAATAAGGGTCCCATGTCTGGCTGACCCTGGGCTGTCTGGAAAAAGAGAGATTTAGTTTGCATCCCGAAAATACAGGTTAGACCTTTACTATAACCTTTTAGAGCTTTCAGTGATACAGACAGCCTGCGGCAGCACGCGTGCCAGAGGTTCACTCCCACTAGGTTAGACACTGGATCAACAGAACGAGCTGCCATGTTCACACCGTCACTTCTCCCTAGGAGGACAGCAAGGATGGACTCGCCTTTGAATTGCTCTAGTTCCCAAGCCTTTCAAATGTCTTTCAGGGAGAGGCCATGCTTCAGTAATTCAAAATGGGGAGCACACTCCATTTATAATTAGACCAGCAGGAACTTAGTAAGTTAAATTGTTGTATTTATAATATCCTTTTCATTTTACAGCTTTAATGCCCTTTCTCCTTTACATTGCTATCCTTTTCATTTTACAGCTTTAATGCCCTTTCTCCTGCAGTAACCTGGTAGTGACTGATTTCCTGTGAGTGGACCCCCCAAGAAACGCACAGACAACTGAAACTGCAGCCCTGAAGGAGTATGTGCGGTGGGAGGTGCCTTCGTACCTGGGTGAAGTCTGGGTCTTCAGAGGGGTTGCTGAAATCGCGAAACATTCCTACGGCCTGAAGGTACCTTCTCATGTGCTGTACTTTGTTTTCATCTCGACCTAAATAGTAGTAGTTTAACAAGTAATACGGTGTTATTTCCTGATCATATAACTCTATATTGTGTCTATATTTAATCATTCCAACTGTCGTAAATTAGTATCCCTACCAGCAGTTACGTAAGTACTCTGCTTTCCATGCACTCACAGCTCTGCTGACCCTTTTGCTTTCAGGCTTATAATTTGACACTCTGGTTGATGCTTCTTTTTCTCAGGGGCCATTCACTGACCAGTTATTCCTCTACAGCTGTTTTCTGGAAAATGTTCTGGCCCTACTTATAGATACTCCGTTACAGCCCTTAATTAGGAGGAGAATAAACCTGAGCTAACTGCCGAAGTACACCCATGCATTTACCTCCAACTGCCCACGAAAATGCACGGCATGCCACATTTCTACTGTGAAAACAACTACCCAACCCACCGTACACCTCAAGCTGTGAAGCACACTCTGTGTGCATGGCACTCTGCTAAACATCTGAATATATTACTTCAGACTCTAATCCTTGATCACGGCCTTATCAGACAAGCACTATTGTCATTCTCATTCGAGGCTGAGGAAGTCAGGGTTCAAGACCACGCAACTTTCCCGCAGACACTGCCAGCAGACGGCACAACTAGGATTTGAACTTGAGTTTGCCTCCGAAGTCCTAACTCACCATGCGGTGTCACCAGGATTACAGCCCCGAACCTCTGCTACTCAGCACTTAATCAAGACCCTGGTATAGGAGGTGACACTCATGAGGAAAGCCCAATGGACATCAGTCTCTTGTTTCCCCGACAGCGACATGAGGCTGAGAGCCTGACACACGCCACAGATGGCCGTTTTGGGCTTGCTCTAACTGTACAGTGAAGGTCATTGGCTTTCAGGAGGACCTGGCAGAGGAGGAGGGCACGAGCACCCACGCCTGTGTCACGCCCATCGTTAAGCCCCTGCTTATCACACGTCACGTGTCTTCTTCACGAAGGGCTTTGTGAGAATCTTAGAGTCTAGGTAAATTCAGGCCCCTCCAGTCTGAAGGGAAAGGAAAGAAGGAAAGATGCTGATGAAATGCTCGTTTAAAGCTGTCTTTGCTTCTCATGAGAACATACGCTGCATGATGGCAGGGCCTTGTTTTCTGCTCACTGCCGTACATCTGGGACCTAGACTCCGCATTGAGAATGTTTTAAATGAGTAACTGACTGAATATTTAATGTTTTAAAAACAAACTTGAGAATTAAAATAAAAAACTTTCTCCATGTTAAAAGTCAAACTTCTCAACCAATTTACACAAAGTTAAACATCAGAGGTGAAACGCCTTCCTGTGCAGGCTCTCATTTCGGTTCTGAACAACCCGAGAGGGGCGCAGCAGTTCTTTCCCGTTGGCAGCTGAAGGTTTGGAGTCTGGCTATTGATTAGGCCTGGGTAGCAACACTTTCTGCCCGTCAGTTTGCTCTCTTGTGGTTTGACTACCTAGCCCAGCTACCTGACAGACGTGAAGACGACAGCAGATGCACACCACGAGCCTGGCACACAACAGGTGCCCCCTCGACAGCAGATTCTGCACCATCACCAAGGTCACTTGTTTTAATGTCAAAAACACTAGTAAGAGAAGACCAGCATCAATGTCTAGGCTTCCCGAGCCCCAGAGCTGTATCTGCTGCACCATTCCCACCGCACACCTCCTTAAATCTGAACAACCCACTTGGACGTCACAGACAGGAAAACAAGCTGACAACTCTAACCCAAGGACAGCGTGTGGGGCGCAGGCAGAGGGCAGGCCTCGGATTCTCAGGGTTCTACAAAGCTGCACCAGGCAGCCCTCCACTGTCAGTCTGTCACTTACCTGTCTGCACCAGGTACTTGATGCTGACTTCATCGACGGGGAAAAAGGCAGCAGTTGCTCCATACTCGGGACACATGTTGGCGATGGTAGCTCGGTCAGCAATGGACAGCTGGGCGACTCCGGGCCCGAAGAACTCTACAAACTTGCCCACAACTCCAACCTGACGGAGGTGCTAAGCAGCAGAGAAAAACAGGAAAGTCTGAGACTGAAGAGCCCACGCTGAAGGAGCCAGGGACGTAGCTCCGAGGGACAGCCCCCACCTGGCAAGTTCAAGTCCTGATTTCGATTTCCCATATCGAAAGAAAAAAAGAGTCCGCATTTAAAATGCAGAACTATCACTTTGCAATTCTTGTAAACTAACCTTAAACATAAACTGTAAATGAAATGAAGGTTTTAAATTATTTTAAAATATAAAATTTAAAAGCTTCCCTTCTTAGATACAACATGGTAACCTGCGCTGGGCCCTGGAACAGCAAACAGACGCTGCTGACAACCGGCACAGGCCGCCGGGGAGCCCCGCACCGGTGTCAGCGTCTCAGAGGACCGCGCCATAGTGATGTCAGGTGCCACCGCGAGACACTGCCAGGTAACGGCGGCTCCCTGCATGACCCTTCCGCCAGTGCTATCAGTCTAAGACGATGTCATATGGTTATTTTTTAAAAAAGAAAAAGTAATTCCAAAACACAAGTAACATAAAGAAAAGATTTCCAAAATGAAAAACACTCCCTAATGAGATCACTAGACATGACTGGAGGTGCTAAAATTAGTAAACCTAAATAAATCATTATATAATCACACTAACTGAGTACACACATGATTTGCTTTGAAAGGTACAATGGAGAAATTCATGCTACAGGCACAAGTCAAATATAGGCCTGGATCCAGACAGCAGAACCCCTATGACTTTTCCGCAGAAGCCACCTGCCACGGCTGAGCCCGTGGGTGACTCAGGCCTGCATGAAGCCAGTGTCATGGATGGTCGGCAACCACCCAGAAGGAAAGGCTTTTTTATTTACGTTGCTCTGCCCATTTCTGTGAGCAAGCCTTACGTTACTCCATACTAGAAACACTGTACAGATATCTGTGATAAACTATAGTGTTCAAATAAATCGAACTCCCAACACCACAAACATTAAACCACAGAGAAGCCTTTTTGAACCGTTTATAGCATGGTGTCTATATAAAAGACTCCAAAACATATAACCAGAAAAAAAATATGCTTCTGGTAAAAAAATCACTTTCTAACAGTGTTCTAGAGTGAAACTTTCTTCTTTTTGCAAAGCGAGCAAATCACAAAAAATATGGTTTCCTACCAAAGTGTAAGAAAAAATGCTAGTATTTTTCAACTTGGAAAAACATATGTTACAAGAACGTAACTTAGAACACAAAGGAAAAAATTTAAAAAGCCACACATTCATGGAATATTTGCTGTTTACATACAAATAAGAATCATGTGGAAAAAATATAGCAAACGTAGGAAAAACATGTGTACTGGAATAATTCTAACAATCTCAGGATAGTGATTATTTCTACGAATGGGGAGGTTGGCTTCAGCCACAAACATTTTTTACTTCTTACAAACACGGGGATGCCTGAAACAAATATAGCAAAATATTATCACCTGTAAGTATAAGTGGAGAATATATAAATATCGTTTCAATTTATTTTAATTACATCATAATTTTAAAACTCAAGATAAAGGTCTATGCAGCAAAGAAGAGTAAACCGAGCGTTAACCACGGACTATTCCCCTTATCTCTTTTTGAAGTTGTAAAGGTGTTGTTTTCTAGCACTGCGAGATTATACGGCACTGTGAATGCACGCCCTGTTTGGCGCTGACTTTCCAAGACCACCGAAGAGGGAGTAGGTTGTTACCTTGGTGATGGTGAGGACAATGTCGGTGGAGGTCACCAGAGGCTGAGGCTTTCCTGTCAGCATGTAACCAACCACCTGGGGGAGCACCATGCTGATTGGCTGACCCAGCATCACAGCTTCGGCTTCAATTCCGCCCACGCCTGCAATGGAGGGTATGGCTAGAGTAATGCTGGCATTATTCCTTACTATAGTATGAATTCCCTCAGGCAGGACTTCAATAAACTCAGCTACAATATTTAACTGGCACAGCATTGTGTTTCTATAAAGAACAATTATTATTTTCTTGACCCTCACCTCCTTTTTTTGGTGCTAAGGATTGGACCCAGGGCCTCTTTCATGCTAGGCAAGAGCTCTCCAAGCTACACCCCAAGTCCACCTCTACAGAATCTTTAACAAGTGTTTCTCAAAGTGTGACCACCCCCCAACACCTATGTCAAAATGCCCTCAGTGCCCCCAGGTGCAGAGGGGCTGGAAGTCTCCATCCCGCTCCACCGCCCCGCCCTGGGAAGTGAACCCAGGGAGCGCTAGGCTACATTCTCGGCCCCTGATTATTTTACTTTGAGGCGAAAGATTTACGCGATCTGAAGAGAAACCAGAGTATTTTATTTTACTTTCAGACAGGACTGGCTAAACTGCTCTGGTTGGCTTTGACCTCAGTGACTTTCCTGCCTTCCCGCCTGCGTGGCTGGGACCGCTGCACCCCTGCACCTGGCTAGGAGTCTCCACTCTTAACGTACAGCCCTCGCCCTCCCCCAGAAAGCAAATCAGCGGAGAACTAGAGATGCAGCGCAGCAGTAAAGTGCAACGCCTGAATCTGATCCCCAGCACACAAAAGAGAGAAAAGGGCAGTGCTCGTTTCGGCAGCACACATGCCGAAGGAGAAAAAGGAAATTAACAAACATACCAGCTGACTTTCACGGATGCAAAATGCCCCTGTCCCCGTATTGCACTCACTGTTCCAAACACAAACTGGATGCCTACTGGACGCGAGGTACTTTCCTGGGAACTGTAACAGCCGAAAATGCCTCTCCCCTACCTGCGACCATGCCAATCCATGCCGCTGGGCCGTAAAGGCATCACCGTGAACTCAAGCACACGCTTGAACAGGGCACGCGCGGAGCAAGCACCCAGCGAACACTCACCCCAACCAAGAACGCCCAAACCGTCGATCATGGTGGTGTGCGAGTCCGTGCCCACGAGGCTGTCTGGGTAGTAATACCCATCCTGATCAAACACCACTCTCGCCAAATACTCCAGGTTCACCTGGTGGATGATTCCTGAGCCTGGGGGGATGATCCGCATGTTGCGAAAAGCCTGGGAGCCCCACTAGGGTTGCAAATGGAAGGAACGCCGTCAGTGCTCACACGCTTCTGCCCAGCCCAGCCCCTGAGCGCCCCCTTCTTCCTGCCCACACGGAGAGAGCCAAAACCACGGCTCCTACCTTCAAAAACTCGAATCGTTCTCGGTTTCTTTCAAATTCCAGGTCTTGATTCTTCTGTAAGCTGTCTACCCTGTCCGAGAGAAAAAGGAAAGGTACAAATGAGAGCCTTAAAATATTACTGGTCAGTTTTACTGGTGACAAGCAGGCAAAATGGAAGTTGCACCTGCAGGCCTGCTGGGTGGCATCAGAAATTTCGCCATTACAACCTGGAAAGGGTGCGCGGACAGAAAAAGTAAACAGATGATTTGATTCAAGTGATGCCACACCGCCCCTAAGCATGATGAACAGAAAACACGAGCTGAACCCAAGTTAAAATTAACCTAAAGTCTGACTTGCAGGAACAAATTTAAAACATTTGTGTTACAAGAGCAGCTCAGACCCTTGTGGAGCCCTGCTTCTGTATCCCCGGCTCGCCGCTCCGAGCTGAGCGGGGTCTCGGTGGCATCTTCACCGGTTTATGCTGGGAGATGGGGCACTGGCGATGCCGAGAGCCTCAGTCACTGTCAGAGCTGCGATCTCCTAATGCCCAGACCAGGGTTTGTGAGGAAGACGGTGCTACCCAGGAGCAGGCACAAAGCCCACCGTATGCACTGAGGTGTACTCAAGGTCATCCAGCTCAGACGCTAGCAACGCAGGGCATGAAGGAGATCTTCCAGGGATTTGTGGGTTTAGCACAGCGAGAGCTCTCATAATTTGTGTATCATGGATTTAGGAAAGGTAGTAAAACTAACAGCTAAGATCCAAGTCAGGCTTCATTAATTAATGTGATCATTTCTGTTTATTGACAATAGGAACCAGCCACTATTCTGAATGCTTTCATTTCCTCATTTAGGCTCCCTTACATGCTCTGAGTCAGGTATAGCTAATATACACCATTTTTTTGTTTTTGTTTTTGTTTTTTAAGACAGGGTCTCGCTCTGTAGTCCAGGTTGGCCTTAAACTCACTTTGTAGCCCAGGCTGGCCTCGAACTTATGGTGATCCTCCTGCCTCAGCCTCCCGAGTGTTGAGATTACAGGCGTGCGCCACCTCGCCTGGCTCCACGTTTCTCAAATGAGGGAAGTGAGACACAGAGAGGTTAAGAAACTGGCTGAGCAGGACAGGGGCAGTAAATGGCGAAGCAGCCTAACTCAAAGTTTATGTCCTTAGGCCCCAGTCCACACTGCCTCCCCCTGGGGCAGCTACGCAGACCGGCCGTACAGGTGCTGGTGGGAACAACGAGCACGGACACCAGCAGGAGCCGGGTAAACACCTGCACGGCTTCTAGTGCTGCGCACACACGGTCTCACTCTGCGGCCACAGCCCGCACACGGGCGCCTGGCACCTTCAGCGTGACCTACGGAGGCAGCCGCTGAGGCGCAGAAAGGCGCGCCGATTCCTCCACCGTCGGAGGTCTGGCAGGGGAGAGCTGTCATCTGAACCCGGCTCTGCCTGGCCCTGGCTCCACTGCAGCCCCTCGTATTTCTCGCCCAGCCCTTCCCTTCCTCACTAGCTATCCACTGGGAGCCCGTCCTGTGCCGTACCGGGAATGCATGGCATGCAAAGGGGCACAGTCACTGCCTGCTTGGAACTGCGAAGCTGGTGAGAGCAAGGCGAGCAGCCGGCCAGCAGCGAGGTATGACCGTCGGAGCCGTGTCCTGGCTGTGTCCAGAGGTCCCCAGAGCCTCACACAGTCACGGAGGGGGCTTCTTCCAGGGCGGCCCAATCTAGTGTGTGACGTGCCCAGTGCCGGAAGGTAAACTGATGAAGGAGTAAATATTGAAATAATACCTTTCTATACTGGAAAAAATAAAGAGTGGGTACAGGGATAATTGTTTTGCAGCTTGACATCTCCTTTCAATCTTTTAATTGCTGCATCACTTTAGAATTAGCTGAGATTACTTCATATGCAATTTAGCATCTGGCGCATTAGGCTGCAATGTAAATCTATTCCAAGATTATTAAGTACTTTATAAATACAACTAAAAGATTACCTAATAATTCACTTTCAGGATTACTATAATCTAATACATCATTTACCTTTATTGGACATTTATAATGTTTCTCGGTTTTCATTTATTAGTAAGTTTTAATAAACATTACTGGCCACAAAGCTTTTTCTCAATCCCAGCTCGCTGTAAGTTTGCTTGGAAGTGGAAATTCTAGGACAAGGGATATAGAAATGTCTAAGGTCTTGCTACACAGCACTTTTACCACTTCTAATTTACAGTGCTAAGAGCACTGCACAAAAGTGTCCCTCTCATGACACTTTCACAGTTAACTGTTATTTTCTGGTCTTAGCAATACTGATAAGAGAGAATGGCATCTCAAGTGCTTATTTTAAGTTTTCATTACTTCTCAGGCTGAAAAGATTTTATATACGGTTTAGCATTTGCAATTCCTTTTATTACAAAATACACACTTTAGCTGATTTTTGTTTGTCATTGCTATTGCAATACTTGGGCTGCATGCAGGTCCTTCCCACTGAGCTACCTCCTCAGCCCCAATGCCCTTCCTCCTTTCTTATATTTTTTTATTTTGAGACTGAGTCTCACTGTGTTACTGAGTTGCCCAGGCTGGACTTAAACTTGCAATCTTCCTGCCTCAGCCTTCTGAAACGCGGGGATTACAAAGTGTGCCACCATGCCTACCTTTACCTTGATGTCTTCAAGGGGTGGTGGTGCAAACTGCTTTCTGTAGTAAAGGCACACAGCAGAATTCGCTCTTTACCCGCTTCCCAACTATCTTTACCACTTTCATTCAACGGGCAAAGGGGACTGACTCCCTCCCTTTTAAGTCCTACTTTCTCTTTTCCCAAGTGTAATTCCATCGGTGCTCTTCAGAGTTCTATCAAATCCCTGAGGTGCTGCGCTTGGATTCAACTATTGTGTATTTTTTCTAATACTTTATGTGCTTTTTGTGCATCTTACAGGGGACAGGGAAGGCACAGCAGCGTTTAATCTCTCGGAGTTATTTTAAACCAAAGATCCACGCTCAATACTTTGAAGTTAAGACAAAGGCCTTTGGAGAATGAGATTGAGAGATTAAAGCTCATGAAGATAAACTGGGACAGAACTGACCATTACTACTTGACTCAGTCTCACAGATTTTAGGTAGTCAGTGAGCTGGGATCACCAGTGCTACGTATGCTTGGCTTAAGAAGTAGCTGAAGGTATGTGAAGAGATCATGCCTAAGTTGCCAGTTTACAACTAAAAATTCACATGTTCAATTTTTCCTTGTACAAAGCTTTCTTTCATAAGACATTTTAATACCTCCACCTCGGGAAGCCAAGGGCGAGCTGATAGGTTTAGAAAGAGAACCCAACCATCTTTAGAGATTTGAGGGTTTCCACTTACCCCTTAACTTAGCTATCAAGGTTCACATTGAGGCCAAAGGTAACTTCAAGGCCACCTGGCTCAGTATGTGTTAGTGTCGATCACATGCTCAGCTCTTGCTTTTGGGGAGCCAACGGTCTACCTACCATGGCAACTCAAGTGACGCCGCCCCTCCAGGGGCCACGGCCCACCACACTCTTAGTTGAGCAAGTGGAGCCTGATGGGGCTTGATGGAGCAGAGCGAGGGAATCTTAACAGAAGAGGATTTAAACCGGCCATGAACGACAGGCAAGGGAGTGGCCAGAGAGGACGGAAAGGCCGCCCCAGCGGCAGGAGCGACAGTGGGAAAGGGAGGGCAGGCACTTCGGAGACGCAGGTGGACAGGCAGAGATACCCAAGTATGAGGCAGCTACTTGGGGTCAAAAGGAACAAAGCTCCAGGGAATAAAAAGTAACCTAACTTGTCCAAAGTGGAACATGCACTTGCATTGACAAGCTCTTGGGCAGAACTTAAGTGTGTTTGCATTCAAGTTCAAGCTCGGTTGAGTCCCACTCCACAAGTAAACACACAAGCGAGAAAGATTTTTTTAGAGAAAACCCTCCTCTAAAAAATATGCACTAGAAAATCTATGTTAAATTTGAATTTCCCTGATAGAGTTTAAAGATTTTCTTCTAAGTACATGTATACATAAAAAAAAATGTGCATTCCAAGATTTTGCAGAAAATCCAGGAATCCCTCCTCACCTTCTGCTGAAATCGACCTGGATGGAATGATCAATTACAAGGTCAGCGGGACAGATGGGGTTTATCTTCTCGGGGTCGCCTCCTAACCTCTTCACCGCATCACGCATGGCAGCGAAGTCCACCACAGCCGGCACACCCCTGAGAAAAGGAGGGGGGAGCTGAGCAGAAAATAAGCCTTAAACACGTATGACTGGGATCTGCAGCTTTTTGCACCACTGATAACCCTGACGGGATCACTGCATCACAGCAGCTCACAGTGACTTAAAGTGAACGTTACAAGCACGTTTATTTGAGCAACAGAATCACACAGGTGCAAGTGCTACGACCAGGGACAGACACTGAGGGAAAGCGGGCACGTTCGCCCCCGGGAAGTTTTCCTGCCATGGCTGCGGCCCAGCTGCAAGGTGAGTGGACAGACCCCTGAGGAGGCAGGCAGGTCACACCTCCAGCTTCAGCCAAACTTAAAGGGATAAAATAACATCATTTAAAAGTAAAAAGATAGGGGCTGGGGATTTAGCTCAGCGGCATAGCGCCTGCCTGGCAAGCGCGAGGTCATGAGTTCAATTCCCAATACTGGAAAAAAAATAAGAAAATAAAAAAAATAAAAAGATAATGTCACGGAAAAGAGGCCACGATGGCAGGTGGGGATTCTTATGACTAACAGGATAAAAGCTGAGACCTAGAGTACGTATCTCCCCCTGCAGGCAGTGCAGCTGTGTGAAACCTGGCTCCCCAGGCAAGTTCCCAGGGCAGCTCCAATCCAAGCTTTCTCTCACCCAGCGCTAGGATCCTCAAGATAAAGGACAATGAACTCAGACACTGGGAAAGCTGGGGCTGCCTCCCATAATCCCAAAGTTTACTTCTGCTGCCATGGACAAGGGCCTTTTTTGCTTTCCAAAGTATCTGGATATTGGGTGGTAAATTACAGTCACTGTAGGGCTTTTCTGTTTGTTAAAAAGCAACTTCTTGAAAGGCTGATGAAGAAGGCAGAACAGAGAAGTGACATTAGGCTCACGTAAAGTCTTGCAGAATGACACGGGCAGGTTTAAATGGCACTTCTATGTTCTTATGCTGCATGACATTCCAGTTTAGGATATTTTCAATGTCATTTTTCTTCACCAAAAACTCGTCACAGTTCCGAATGGCTGCCTCCAGGAGAACTCTGATAGAGAACGGCAAGTGTCCTGAGAGTAAAGGAGAAAGCACTGTAACAATAAACAAAACACAAGAGATACCTTCGGGGCTGGGGACTTAGCTCAGAGGCACAGCGCCTGCCTGGCAAGCGCGAGGTCGTGAGTTCGATTCTCGGTACCAGAAAAAACCAAAAAATAAAAAAATAAAAATTTGGGGCTGGGGATTTAGTTCAGCGGCACAGCGCCTGCCTGGCAAGCGCAACGTCATGAGTTTGATTCCTGGTACTGGAAAAAAAACAAAAGCAAAACAAAACAAAACCAAAAAAACAAACAAAAAAGGAGATACCTTCTTATAAGAGAGCTCTTTAAAGCCAATATGTATATAAATGAGATACAAGGATTATTCTTGGATTATTCTTCCAACAGATAAAGGGAGCAAAAATAACTGACAGTTTATAAGGGTAATGAATAGGCCGAAGAGACATTTAGTAATAGAAAATACAGACCTGGTGAAAACAAACTAATACAGTGTTTTACACATCAAATGGTTGGCTTGCCTTGAATTCCAAGCACAGGAAGTCTCCCCTAAGTCACCGCATCTCACTACCAACCTACCTAGTCACTGCATCACGGTACCAGTGCTGTGTACTTCTATAAGCACATGCGCATAGAGTAGTGTTTCCTATGAAAACTAATGCTTAAGAAATGATAACGCTTTACAGTTCCTGTAGTTAAGCCCTCAGCACACAACTATTTCCAAGGAAATACAATCCTAAACTCCATGTAGATGGCCACACGCTAGCTGGTTGCAAAGATAAAACAATGACAATTCCTAAGAAAGCCTATTTTGTTTATTTACAAAAGGAAAGTCCCATCCGTACATGAAAACTGTTTCCCAGTATTACCTGGAAAGACAGTAAAGGGAGAATGCGAACAGGAGAAGGTGACACTCGCGCTCGGGTCCTCTTCTGCTGCCCACGTTCCTGTGATTGGAGCCTGCGTCCCCTGCTCTGGGACGCAACCTCATGAGGACTTCTTTTATTTTATAAACATGACCCCTATGGCTGTTGTTCACATAAAATATGTATGAACACTGCATATTCTATGACGTATTATGTAAACGTGCAGGTATATAACCATCATTACCTACTCAAAAAAAGCCCAGAAACGGGTGGGGTGTGCGCGGTCATTCCAAGTGCATTCACCTATTCCCTGTTACTCCCGCCTCCATCTCGCCTAAAGGCTAACTAATCACACAGCTTAATTACTGTGCAATTATTATTCAATTGGCTACCAAAGCAATTACATCACAGAGCCATGGACCTACCGTATCTTGAATCCTCCAGTTTTTTTATATTAAAGAACTTCTTTCCTGGGTGTGCAGGATCCAAGGGCTCAGCCAGATGTGCAAATGGGTTCTTCATCCTTTCTGATGGTCACGTGTCCCTGGAAAAGAAGAGAATGCTCAAGCTTTACTCCGGGGTTGGGCCTTCTTTAACAATGATTCATGTATACTTAAAGGAGTCACTTGTTTTCTCTTCAAACTAGAGGGTAGCGAGACAAACACAAGCTTCACCAAGGAAATGAACTGTCGTGCAGCTCCTGGGAAAGCCAGCACTCGCCTCTCAAGACAGCACATCACCTCGGACTGCTTCTGCCTTCTTTCTACAACTCCCCACCGTTCTTCCGTGGGTACGACACAGGAAGAAGACACGAAGATGCCCTCACAGTGAGTCCTGACTATATGAACGGGCTTCTGAGCTGGGTCATGTATGGCTCAGGAGGAGGTAAGAGTCCATTTCAAGCGACCTTATAAAGTTACATGAAACTTGCACTGCATTAAGGATACAGGAGGGTTCCCTGAAGAGGAACAGGGCCTAGAAGTCAGGGCTGGGAAGAAGACTGAATTTTTACTCTGTAACTTTTAATATTGTTGGCATTTCAACTCTGTATATATATGGAATTTTTTAATAAAGAAAAGTGGTTAAAATTTTAAAAGAAATGTGTATTTGAACATCTCTGTCCAAATCCAGACTAGGCTGAGTATCTGTAACACAAGTATCTGACCCAAAATGATTAAAAATTCAAACTTTTTGAGAGCCAGCGTGACACTGTACGTGCAAATTTTAACACCTAAGTTCATATGGTAATTTGTAGTCAAAACACAGGTATGGTGCACTATAAATATTGTATAAAATTGCACTTAGGTTACGTATATGAGGTGTATGTAAAACGTAAATGAATTTCATGTTGACCCTTGGGTTTCATCCCCAAGATATCTCATTATACATAAGCGAATATTCCAAAATCCAAAATAACCTAAAATTTGAAACGCCTCTGGTCCCATGCACTTCAGTAAACGGTGTTTAGCCTGTACTAGGTGCTTTAAGGAGAAGCAGCCTTTGTCTTCCTGGAGTTACCAGTACAGCAGGCAACAGAAGCAACACAGGTACCTGCAACAGGCATGCGACAATGCAGAGCTGAAGAAAATGAGGTTCTGCTCGGCACCCCTTTCCTTGGAACGTCTCCTCCCCCATTTCACACGGTGTTGGCAGCAGCTGCCACTTAGCAGGAGAGGGACAGTACCTGACCATCCGGGTCAATGTCCTCCTCCAGGAGTTATGCAAAGGAAACTAAATGAAGAAAAGCCACTAAGGGATACTGGAGCATCCAGAATTGTTTATAGAAGAGTGCACTCTAGGCCAGCTGAATAGATTTACCAGGGTGTCTTTCTGGTTAAAAATAGATTCCTGGTCAGAAGCCACGGGGGAGGGGCAGGAGTCAGGACGCCCTTTAACCTCTCAGCCACGCCCCGAGAACCACTGCCGGATGCAGTGAAATGCCGGGTGAGGAAGCTGCGCTCAGTTCTGGAAGCAGCAGGGCAGCGTGCTTGATATAGAGAAAGGAGAGGTGGCAGTGAGGATTGGGGTTGGGTACAATGACCAAAATGCCTCCACCTGGGAGACCCGGGCTGCGCAGGGACAGCACCTTTAGGTTCTGAAGTGAGTCTCCACGTAAGACAAAGTGCCACGCAAATGCAAGAGATTTGTCAGTAATCCCGTTAGCGAGAAGCCAGCCAGGAGAGGAAGAGACTACCACGACTCTAGAAGACACACCCCTCCTCGTCAGCAGAAGTAGTTTGTAAATCCGTGAGCTCAGAAAATGCGAGAATGCTACTGAATGGCAAGCTGAAGATGATGTAGATTTAGAGGGTCGGATTGCTGCTCCCTCACCTGTGCCTCAGTCCACGGCACTTAACTCTTCTACCCCAAACAGCAGCCACTCCAACAGGAGAACGGCTGTTCGGGCCCGGGAAAGTGGATCAACAGAAGGTCACCTTGGTAGAGGCTGTGGGACAGTTCAGAATCTCCGTGCTCAGACGAAGTGGCGGGAACCGCTGGCAGGACTGAGCAAGACGGGTAACCCGGCCTCAGACAGCTTTAAGTTCCTGCACCATCCCTGTCTCTGTGTGAAATCCCGAAGGGCCAAGGCCTGGAGTCTGCCGAACAAGCTGCTAAGTTGTACCCAAAGGTGCACTGATTTATCTGCACATTTCTTTCTCTTCCCCACAGACCAGCAATGCCCAGAGAACAGCAGTGGAAGCCTTACACCATTCCTGCTGTTCTTATCTCCCTATGGCGTCTCAGGACGGATACAGACCAATACAGCTCCTGCAGGAAGCGGCTTGTGTATAGAGGGCCGCGTCTGCCTCACATTTTCCTTAGAAGCTAGATAGCAGATTAGTTTCATTACAGGCAGGAAACAAGTTCTACTTGCAGGAATCAGCAGGGAGAGGAAGCAATTAGTACTTGTAAGTTCAAGGATGCGTTGAGTGCCTTTCACTCCACCTTCTCTAATCCTGGCAACACTGCTCCAGAGCAAAGCCTGTCATTATTATTTCACAGTTGTGGAAACTGCAGCTCTGAGGGATGGAAAAACCCGCCCAAGGGCACACATCCAGGAAGAGGCGGAGCTAGGCTTTGAACCTTGGCTCTTTTAATTACCCCCACGCTGTCTCTCCAGGTAAAGAACTTCTGCTCTGAAGGTGATCCTGGCTGGAGGTCACCTCCCTGCTGCAACAGCTGAAGACCGCCACCAGAAGTCCTTCAACAGAGGGAGGTTTTAATGCTGGAGTAGCCTTTACTTCCTCCCCAGGGTCCTGCCGCGCCTGGTCTGAGCCAGGGTTTGCACAGGTCCCTTGGCACTTTTTACTGAGCCACAGGTCAACAGAAAACAACAGCACCAGTGTTTCAGCAGCTGAAAACTGGTTTGCTTGGAAGTTGGGCAACAGCCCCTCCATGTGAGTGTAAAGGATTCTGGAACTCAGAGCTACCCGGAGTTCCACCCATACTATCTCTCTTGTTCCAAATCGCCATACAACAGCTCTGTGGTTTAGTAAACCCCAGGAGAGCCCAAAACATCCTGGTTTCAGGAATGGAGTGCGGGAAAGATCTTGGCTTGGGAACAACTCCAGATCCAGAGCAGAATCCAGGTGTTGTCTTGGTCCCTGGTCATTGCACCCAACCCCAATCCTCGAGGATTAACAATGTCCCCCCCCCCAAAAAAAAAAACAACGTCCCCGCAGACTCCAAACTCCCCCCAAGGCCTGGGGCTTTATCTAGGAACACTATCACCTGGCCAGAGAGCCTTCCCTACTTCTCACAGCCACATAAATAATGCAAGGGCCTGCTCCTATCCCCTTCTTCCGTACCAGCCTCCCTTTCCACTCCAGGCTTGGCTCCTGCCTCTTTTCTGTTTTATCTAATCTTCATTCAATAATAATAAAAGAGGGAATGAAAATGGAGAAAAAACTGGCTTTGGGGGCAGCTGACAGCTTAGTTCTCTTGGGCGGGGGGATCAGCATCCGTCTTACTTTCTTTTTTGCTGGGACAAAGTACCTGACACTCAGGACTGAAGAGGGGTTTCTTTTGGCTGGTGTTTTAGAAGCTTCAGTCTTTGCATGGAGCTTGGCGTGGAGGAAAGGCCTGGAGGAAGGCGGCTGCTCAAGCGGGGCAGCCAGGAAGCCGGGAGAAAAGGGAGGCGCTGGGCAGGGACAGGCACCCTCCCAGGTCGTGCTCCTCGTAGCCCATGTCTTCCAACCACCCTCGCCTCCCGACAGCAGGTCATCTCTAATGCCCCCGTAATTCAGTGGCCTTCTGAACACATGGCCCTTTGGGGCCCATTTTATATGCAAACCTTGAAAATATGTATCTACAAGATGCTCTGGTTGCTGCCCTTTCTGCTCCGCAGAATGAAAATGAGATTGTATAGAGGCGGGGGGAAAAAAGAAAAAGAATCAGCAGTGATCATTTTTAAGCAGTTGTCCTTCTTGGAGGTTTATCAGAATGCTTAGGGCTGCTGCACACTTATCCCTGGCCACCAAATCAATGAAGACCTGTGAAGAGTTCTCAGACAAAAGGAATAAAAAGAGACAGCCACACTGTGTCCAAGTCCATCACTACATCTACATCACGGTGTCTCTATGGAGAGAAATCGGCACCTTCGGCAACAACCTTTGAAAAGGAGACAGAACAGCTCATAAAGTTCCTGGAACTACAATATATAGGTCTTTCTTTAATAACATCTGATAGAGATTTACTTAAAGGAGCAGTTTTGGCTACTCCAGGTAAATCCACAGTGCTTCTCAAAACACGTCTTCTGTTATCCACTGACGGAGTGAAACCATTCTGAGACAGGTCCTGAATGACTCCTTCTAGCTTTTGGTTGGAATCTCTAGATCACATGTGGCAATCAAGGTGGTCCCTCCCTCTCACCCTGTCCCCCATCTTTCCTTCCCTGCCAGCCTCACGAGGACACCAAACGTGTGGACTCACACGTTCTGAGTATAATGGTGACTTTACAACTATTATACCAAGAAATAGATGCTCATTGTACAAATGACAGAAAACGCCAAGTGAACAAAAAGAAGAAAATAAAAATCCTCTGTAATACCACTAGAGTTCTATCCACCACTTCTTCTTCATGAATTTGGATCTTCCCCAAAAAATAAATTTTAGATGTCACATCGTTCTGCAAAACTATTTTTTTCACTCAGCAGTAGACCACAAATATATTAACAGGGCAGTTGTGGTCTTTTATATCACTTGTAACTAGACCATAAAAATCTACCCGTCAGGTATATAACAATTTACTTCACTCTTATTATTAAAATACGCTATTTCCATGTACAGTATTACCATTCAAGCAAGGCCACAACTCTTGTACACAGCACTTAATGGGTCCTTAAATCCATTCCCCTAAATATTGACTCCTAGCTTTCAGTTACTAGAAGCAGGAAGCGGGCTGAAAAGATCTGTATGTCCTCACTTTGCTACACAATAGCACGATACCTGGAAAAGGGTGTAAGTATCGACTAATGATCCTTCTCTGAAGCGGAAATGGAGGTGCCCAAAGCAGGTAACAAAATCCCTTCTCACATTCTGCCA